AGGAGACTCAGGAACGAGAACCTAGGAGGGGATCTTTAGTTCACGGCCACGTACTTTCTTCTATTTTCCTGTAGAAACCGCCTTAGGACGACTATTTTCTCCGAAGCACTGGCGGATCGAAGAAGTACGTGTCTATTGGTGGCCGCATATTAGGTAACGTTTGAAGAAATCAATTTCGCAGAATGAAAGAGAATGTATGATATATATATATATATATAAATATCTGGTCATACTCTCTCCTGTGATTTACCCCAGCCTTCTTGTTAATAATCTTAGGTAGTCTTCTTTCCTAAGATGCTTAGTCCTAGAGTCCGAATCTATCGGTATTTACGATTTTGTATTTATAATTAGAGTTACTTGACCTTTTATTCTTTTAAAATATAGGTGAATAAGTCGAAATCGAAATCAGATTCCGGATCTGGATATTGGAATTTGACGAAATATTTAAGATATGGAATTTGAATATATAATATAAGGGATGAGGCTAACTTTTTTTAGTGAAAGTAAGTATATCGAGATATAATATCATTTACTATATATAAATAGAGTAAGTAGAGAGAGGTGTTATTTATTAGATATGGAAAAGAGCTTTCGTCAATTTTGATATTTTAGGCGAGCTTACGATAATTTCATATCTTCAAAACTAAGTTCATATTAGATATCTTTTTTTAATATGGTGAAATGTAATAAATTAGTTTAGTCTTTTATAAGATGTTGGAAATTAGTATTTGGAAAGAAATGAATATGGATAATAGATGAAAAAACAGAAATTAGAATATTTTTGGAAAGAAATGATTTCTTTCTATTAAATTCAAAATGAATTCTGCTAAAAATAGAATATATCGAGATTCTTTTATTTCATATTTCGTGAGAGTTAAGATAAATATAAATTTGGAAAATTTTTATTATTCTTATATTCATATTTATTCTTATAAAAAATATTTATTGAATGAATTAGTTCTAGATCTTATTTTGTTATATTCTCCGAGAAATAATAGAAATTGATTTTTTCTTATTAGATTTGAAGGAAAATACTAAATCTTTTGATTTATCTCTTGAATAAGATTTTCTTTGATTCGATTACGCTTATATTCTACGAATTCCGCTAGGAATTGAAATAATTGAAAATTCATTTATAAAATAATTCTTATATATCATTTGGATGGAACGGAATAATTTTTTTCCCCGTAATTCAACTTGAAAAAGAGAAATTCTGAAATAAAGAAGGATAATACTATTGGGGAATTCAATTTATATAAAAAGATATGAAATATCGGAGCTTATTAATTTAATTGAAATATATATTTTAAGAAAGTTTTATTCTTTATTCAAGTAATACATAAGAATTTAAATATTTAGCAAGATCTTATTTCGATGCAGAAATAAGAATTCGATAATATCTATAATATGATATATATTTTTTTTTTCATATGAAATAATCTGCGGCAATCATAAATATAGATTGGCTTCAATATTATAAAATTCAATTATTCTTCTATTTCTTTCAATTGGAGCCTGATGATATTTTCGCGCTTCCAATTTGATAAATTTTCAGAAAATTAGAACCTGGATAATTGCAAAGGAGTATATGAAGGGATAAACGAATGGATGAGTCTTCTAGATCTTTCTAGACGAGTGGGTGCGGTGTCGTGGGTGAAGTGCGCGTGGGGTTGTCATGATATGCGTGGTAATGCGGGGAATATAATATATAGATTATTTATATAATCTATAATGAATATTTTCATGAAAGCTAATAAAATTAATCTTTCGTCTATTATATCAATAATATTTCCCGATCGCGCTTTGCCAGCTAAATTAGTACATATCTAGATATAATTTTCTTAATCTATATTTCATCCGCACGAATATCGATTCTATTCTGATAAAATTATTTCAAATATTGATGATCTTCGCGCATTTATATCAATAATTTCGTTCGAAATTAATAATATCTATAAATATAAAGATAATATTCTTAAATTCACGAAATATCGGCTATATATATTTTTGAATTGATAGGATATCGATCTTGGCGTGATTATATTAATCTCGTGATCGATAGAGATAAGAATAATATTATTAATAAATTATTTCAATGATTCTTATAATCAGAAATATGGAAAATCTAAGATTGATCAAGAATGATTATCGGAAAAAGAAATTTTAATCGGCAAATTCAATAATTTTCACTCAATTGCGAATTTCTCAATCTCCGATTGAAAATTGGGATTCGATTTTCTATTTCTAAATTCTTATTATAAATTACGTCATTTCGGAATTCTTCCCGTATAATGGCTCCGATAGCAAGAATTATCATATGATGGAAAAAGAATATTATTATTTATAAATTTGACGATTTTCGTCGATTCATAGATTTCTTTTACGTCTCCAAGGATTACGATTTATTTTCTTTTATAAAATTGAATTTATAAAATCTATCATTTATATTCGGTCGCGGGGATATCTCGGAGTGGCTCCGATGGACCGGAATACGGAAAATATATGGTTTTTTCCGGATGACTGTTGGAAAAGAAAATATATATCGGTAAATTCTATGATATTCGTGGCTTGCGGGTCTCTATCAATTTCGGTATCTCTAATGGAAAATTCGGGATTGATTTTCTATTATCAAAGTCTGTTTATAAAATATATGATTTATATTAGTCCGCGGATGGATTTCGGTATTTCCCCCATTTCATTAGTTCCGATGGTCAGAAGTTCGGGAAATCCAGCATTTTTCAAGGATGATTGTTGGAAAAAGAAATATTCCCCGATCAATTCTATTTTTTCGTGGATATGCAGGTCTTCTTCAATTTCGACGTCTCTAATGAAAATTATATTAGGTCGTGGGTGGAGTTCCGGGTTCTTCTTCTTCTCTTATTAAGGTAAGATGATATTATTGATATTATTGCTAATTAGAGAGAGGGAGAGAGAGGGAGAAAAAATGATTGAGGGAGGCAGGGAGGGAGAGAAGAGAGAAGAGGTAAATCGGTTGTGATCAGGTGTTGTTATTGTTGATGTTGATGTTGTTGTTCTTCTTCTTCGGTGATGATGGTAGAGATGATATTATTTTTATTAGAGATAGGGAGAGAGAATGGGGGAAGGAGGAAATAGAAGAGGGAGGAGAGAAGAGAAGAGAAGAGAGAAGAGAGACGAAAATAGAAAGAAAAGAGAAGAGAATAGCGAATAGAGGGAGAGGAAAAAAGAGAGATAAGAGAGATATAAGAAGAAAGATAAGAAAGAGAGAAGAGATAGGAAATAAGAATTGAGAGATGAGAAGGAGAAGAGAGGGAAGGAATGAGGAGAGAAAAGAATCAAGATAATGGAAAAATTATAAAAGAGAGAATAAGGATTGGAAATAGAGAATGAATGGAAGAAGAGAGAACGAGAGAGAGGAAAATGAGAGAGATAGATCTATTAAAATGAAAAAAATAAGAATATCGATAGAAATAATAATTGATAATATCATAACAGATCAAAAATATCGAATCAATGATTAATCTTATCTTTCAGAATTCATTATTTATATCTTATCTTCTTTATTTTTCCGTAAATAAATCTGGATATCTGATAAAAATTTCAATTAATTAGATTTCGTTCTTACGACCTTATTTTTCAAATTTATTTTTTTTAGATATAGATATATTATAAGGATATGAATCTATATCGTTCTTCTTGTTAATAATTAGTCTTCTAGAAGAGATGAGATATTTCGATTTTATAAATCGTATCTATTAGAGAGGAGATATTATCTTCTCTTTAGAATCTTCTAGAGATCTCTCGAAATCATATTTAGAGAAAGAAAAGAGGACGGGAGGCTCAAAATAGATATCCTATCTTTCGAGGTCTTTCAATTTCTTTTGGTTAAAATCTTCCAAAGGAAAAATTATATGATACGTATATTGATTGAGATGTCTAGAATAATATAATATATGATTTCTGCATATTGGATATATTATATATGATAGATATATTATATATTCCTCGGCAATTGAATATATTATGCGGAATGAATATGTAAATATATCTTATTTATTTCTTAGAAAATTCTATAGTTTTAGTTAAAAAATTCAAGAACTTCGAAATAATTGCAGAATCTCTTAATTCAAAAATTTAAAAATCCTAGATTCTTTTTTTTATTAATGCCTATAATCTTCTAGAATATTAAAATATATAAAATCTTTCTTATCTTGAATTTAAAATCTTCTAGTAGAAATTCTAAGATATATATATATATCGTATGCTACGAAATCTTCTAGATTCTTTTCTGAATACTATTTAATTGAATATATTTATATATCTATTAAATAAATCATAAATATTAAATATTATTCAAATAGCTTCCCAATTTCTCATATAGATATTCATTATTCGATTTTATATCATATCTCATTTAAGGAAAAGAGAAAGAGCGGATTAAAATAAAAATATATAATTATCTAGAAGGAATCTTTTAGAATATTCTAGATCGGTAATTGGGGGGGTGCAAGGCCGACGAGAACGAAAGGGGCCAAATAATCTTACGTGCCACGAGAATTCAGATGAAAGATAAAATCGAAAAGAGAAGAATAGGTATATCATATATAATACTTTGCTTTTGGTCGATTGCGGCTTTTCCAATAATTTTATTGGAAAAGCTGAGAATATAGCTATGGGTTTTTCTAATAAATGCGAGTTTCAAAGTTCGAAATTGAGCTTTAGTTTTTTTTATTGATCTCTAGGCCTAATCTCAGCTCTAGTAAAATCCGATCAGATCTAGACCAAGGCCCAGATTTAGGGACCCAGACCAAAACCTGTCAGGGTTCAGGACCCAAGGCCCAGACCAAGGTCTTTTCTTATAGCCCAAAAAACAAAACAATTATTTCTATTATAAGACCAGGAACAACAAATAACAAAGAACGCGACGGGTTCTCCATTCGGGTGGAATCGGCAGTGTTGCAGCTCCATGCTTGCTGTCAGCATCGCCTCTTGACGCGCTTCTTCTTCTTTTGCTTACATCCTTATGTCAAAAAAGAATCTTGCAGAAAGGCAGAGCGTTCCAGCTTGCTGCCGTGAGTCCAGACTTCCTTCGCCGACGCCGCTTCTTGTCCTTCTGTACTTCCGGAGAGGACGACATTTCCTCCGTGGAGGCAGGAGACTGGGGCTGTTTGGCCCGTGGCGGGTTTCTTTTCTTCTTCGGCTTTCTTCCAGTCGTTGGCTGGATTGTGGCATTTGGCTTGCTTGGTCCAGCCGATGGCGAGGAAGGGGTCTGCCGCGATCTCCGCGTCTCTCTTGATCTCCCCTTCTTCTGCCTGGGCACGATTGGTTTCCATGCTGCATGCTGCCTACAATCCCCTACAGTCACTCGCAGTCCCCAATATCCGGAAACCAGCCGTGCCGAGTAGCGTGGACCTTCTTGGCAAGCTCTCCGAGCTTGGCTCTCGCTGTCTCGGCCGAGGAGAGTGTCGGCCTCAGCAGAAGCAGAGCTCGCACGAGTGCGACGAGCACGAGCTCTGCAAAGCGCGGCAAAGCCCAAGGCCCATGCTGATCGAGCGCTGCACTCGGTCATGGCGCCACATGCTGGGAGACCGCCGTGCACCTTCAGCCCTCGCAAACTTCAGTGGCGGAAGCGGAGGTGGAGGCGCATCCACTGGCCAAGGCTTCGCTTCGGTGGCCCGTTCGTTTGCTACACTCGCTGGCACCAACTTGGCTGCACGAGGGCCTGAGGCTCGTGCGGTGTCGGCGGACTTCTGTTCCTTGGCCCGCTTCTGCTTGGTGTCAGACGCCGTTCCATGAACGAAAGCCTGCAAAAGGTGCCGAGAAGTTCCCAGTGCACGGACGCTGGCCGCCGACGGCAACAAGTCTACGAAGAAGATCACTTCCGACTTGCCCAGTTGGAAACAGCAATGCTGTCTGGTGAACTCTTCTGGAGCGCTACCAACAGATAGGAGCTTTGCACCCGCACGACATTGAGGTCCTGATCTTCTTTCCTGGAGCAACTTGCTGCTCACAGCTGCATGCTGAGAAGCACAGGTCAAGGAAACCTCGCCATTGAGCGGTTGCAAGAGGTAGGACTCGGGAGGCACGAATATCACCGCAGCATGCTCTGTTTTGACCGAGGCGTGGGTGCCATCGGCCACATGGGCAAACTTTAGGGATGAGCCCAAAATGGTACAAGGCAGCTCCAGAGCTAGAGTGTGACTTTCACTCGCACCGTCAAACACACGAAGTCGAACTTTGCCATCTGCACGGACAGGGGGATCGTCTTCCTCGTCAACTCCATTGCCGTCGGCCTGTTGTTGACGGCCTTGGCCTAAAAGAGATCTTGGCAGCTTTGCAGACCAAGGCAGCTTGGGCAAGCGCAAGGCTTCCAAGCTCTGACCTGATCGCATGGCCACCCGGAAATCAGCCTCTGAACTCTTCAGGGCTTCAGCGCCTGTTCGAATGCTGTCCTCGATCGCGACTTTGGGAGTGCCGACACTTGTAGCGTCGTCCGGGGATTGGACTGCTTGGACACGCGCTGGCCCCTCAACCGTTTTCTGTGATGGGCCTCGAGGCAGGGCGGCCGCAGGCAAGCTATGGATCTTAGGAGTTGCAGCTTCGGTGGTTGCGGAGGCCTCGGTCCTTAGATCTCGAGCAAGAGCAAGAACAATAAAGAGAGGCGCGCCTAGTCTTGCCATCTAGAGGCTCCGCCGGTCTCGGCCGCGAATGGGCCTCGCCTCTCTCGAAAGAACTCCTGATCTCCTGGCAAAGGCCCGGCAAAGGCTTGCAAAAGGCCGTCTTGAAACATTGAAGCGACGGCTGCGTCGCGATGCCGGTGCCAGCCTCGTCTGTTTGCTTCGGCTTGATGTGAGCCTGAACGAATTTCTGCCAGTCCCAAACAGCCCCAAGCACTTTCAAGCTGCTTTTGTCACACCTACCTTCCACCAAGCGGTGCTCTTCCAGACTCCACGCGGTTCCGAAGGCTCATGGTCAGGTGGCCGCGCCTTCGCTACGCAAACCACGGGCACGCACGCAAGCAGGCATCATCGCATCTTTCAGGTGCAGCAACATGCAGAAATCGTGAGAATGAAGAGACAACATAAAGATCTCACCGAAGGCCGGAGAGAGAGAGAGAAAGAGAGAGGGACAGAGCGCGACAGACACACAGAGAGCGGGAAAGAGAGAAGGGCAGGGAGAGATTGATGTAGAGAGACAGGGTACATATAGCATCATACAGCCAGAGATGATGAACCATCAACCGTGACCCACACTCGGCCTTCCTCCTTCTAGAATTACTTATGCTGGCCGCACCTGCGGCTTGTCTCGAAATAAGCTTTTGCGACCTGTGCAAAAAAAGATGGAATGGCCCATGTTGCAGGGGCGCTGGTCACCTGTTGGCAGGCCAGGACCAAGCTATACTTTTTGCTATGCGTTGAATTGGGAAGGAATTCGAGATGCTGAACTGTGCACCTTCATGCAGGGATGTGCTGGGCCGAGTGCGGCAGAAATGCTAGGAAAGCGGCTGAGCCCCTGATATCCCTTCGCTCCAGCGCCAGGCTTCACAAACTGGGCAAGCAGTGCTTACTGCCACCCCCATACAACACAAGCCAACACGGCACCCGCCTCATCTGGAGGGCAGGGGGGAGGGGAGGGTAGGTACCAGTAGACCAGTAGATGCAGAGAGAGAGAGAGAGAAGAGAGAAGAAAGAGATACAGTGATCCAGCGAAATGCCCGGCCTCAGGCTTGCACATAGGCAGCGCACTCAGTGGCAGAGATCCTGCTTCTCCTGTGTAAAGTGTGATACGCATCAGGATTGCCGGATTTGCTCCTACTCGTACTGTCTGCAGTATAGTATCGAGACATGCTTGGGCCCAGCTCCTTCCCAAATTCCGCTCAGTGGTAAATGCTCGGGGCTCTGCTTGCTGGCGGCTTCCTGTTTATGTGGTCTCAAACGACGGTCAGTCGCAGGAGAGACGCAGTCTGCCTCGTCCATGTGGTGTTCGAGGCCCTTGTCCATCTCTGTCTGTCCTGGGATGCCCTGTGGCTCTGTCTCCTGGCAGCCATTGCCACCTTCGTGACTGTCCGCAGGCGCCGGCGTGGGGTCTGGATCTGCCGTCTGTGGCTCCTAGCAATGTTTCCGTGCAGCATGCAAGTGGACCGAGCACTCTGAGCTTCGTGCTGCTTGGAGAATGTGCGCGACAGATCCATGGACCTCAACTCCGCACGCAATGCTTTCAAATCTCTCTCCCTACAATCCTGACAGGTGGCCGCTCGCATAGCTTTGGCTGCGAGCTCCTCGGTAATCAATGGCAGCAAATCACAGTCTCATTCTCATCTACATGCTCGGTCTGCAGTCTGAACGCTGCGGCTGATCAAAACACAAGCTCTTCGGAAACAGCTTGCCCGCAGAACTTTGCGTAGACATATCGTAAATCATTGCACGAACTGCTCCCAAAGCTATGTAGTCTCACAGGGTGATGTTTTGATGTGATATTTGGCAATGCCCCGCGGATCCAGACCCAGAGGCCCATAGGCCTAGGCTTCCAAACTCTTGCCACGCCCCTTAAGCCTCGAGGGCTCAGTTCCCCGGAACCTCTCAGCCAATTCATGAGCCAAGCTGCATGATGCCGCGGTATGCCTGCGACGGTGGCAGCATTTTCGTAGATGACCAGGTGAGTGCACGTGAACACATGGACCTACACATGCACACGAAGACACGCCATTATGTGACATTATTTACGAAAACTCTTCGGGCTGCTCTGGGTATGGTCGCCAGATTTTTTGGGTATTCTTTATCGGGGCGACTGGGTATGCCTTATCTGAAACTGTAGTATTTGTGCAAAGTGACCTGTATATGAAGGAGACCTCATGTATTGCATTCGTTGCGCTTAAGCATCTTGACTGGCTTCAATGGTTTTCGATCGGGTTCCGACAATTAAAGGTTTTGGTAAGGTTCCGGCAACTAAGGGATCCAATGACACCTGCCTCTGCTGCTGTTGTAACATAATCCCATAAGCCACATCTAGAAACCCACCACATTAATGCCTTGAAAACCTGTCTATTGTGATTTTGATGCCGCTTCCTTCTCACCTCTCCCCCTTGCAGTTTTGCCGGCAAGCCGTTCTTTACAGACAGGCTTGGCAGACATGCACGCATGTCACGGCATGCGATGCAAAGACAGGCTCCACAACGCTACATGCTTACCACCGCACTCGACACGGTATCCGTTGACCTGCCCCCCCTAGGTCTTTCACTTTTTGCTTTGTTGCTACGAGGTCTTCCTTGTTTCTTCGGGCCAATGCCTCTCCCTCCGGAGTTTGTCATGTACTAGACCGCGTGCACATGCTTCCTGACATGTGGTGTGCACATGAGCCTGGAGGAAACAGCTTTTTATGAAAGGTCGATTGGGACTGTAGTTCAATGCAACGTAGAGATACTCAACATCGCACAACTTCAAAGCAATATTATGTATCTTGCACATGCCGTGGCATCACTGGCGCTAAGCTAATGAATCGAACGCTGCAGACACGCGAGCTTCGGGCAGCGGGCGTCCAGCGCTTAATTGAAGGTTTAGGACGGGCTTAGGTGTGTGAGTGAGGGGCTTAAAACTGTGATCAAAGTTTCTGACAACTACTGCGTTAAGCAGATCACAAAGGAGCCTTCACAAAAGCTTAATGGCCTTATGGAAAGGCATAATCATAATCATATCGACGTGTCACCACATGTTCAATGTTTCTCTCGCCCAGCGCCTTCCTCACATACATCCACGGCTATGCATGCCCTCATAGACAGAAAGGCAGAAAGGGGACAACGCCAGACAAAGCTACACCATGCCGCTTCTTTCTCACCTCAGCTCCCTGCAGTTTTGCCAGCCAGCCGTTCTTCCGAGACGGGCTGGCATCTTGCTCGATTGCTTGCTTGCTCGCTCCCTCGCTTGCTTGCTTAACCCAAGCCGGAAACAAATACAAATGCCCAACCGCCCCGAGAAAAGAATGCCCAAATAATCCCACCACCGTCGGCAACATAGGTGCTTGCAGCTAATGCAGACAAGCTTTTTCGGACTCCAAGCAACAAGTCAAAGCACATCCAAGGCACAAACACAATTGCTAAGGCTGATTCTTTCTAAGCGTTCCCAGGGCCAACAGCCGCACGGGAAAGGTTTTGGGATGTGGAGGGTGTCCAAAACGTTCAACCCTGCACAAACTGACGTCTAGCGTCGCACATGCACATTTGAGTCGATGTACGTCTCTCAAGTTATACTGTCACAGAAAAAAGCCCACCCACCATCACCCACCTACCCATTCAAACGCCGCGAAACCCTACCCCTTACAGCCGGCAAGCACACACTTTTTGCTGTGGGATGCGCAGCCAAATCCGTCCGGCCTACCCGAGCCTGAAAGAAATCAACTTCCAGGAGGCGAATGGGGCGGCGGTGGGCTCAACTACAAGCTAGCCTACAGGCAAACCGTTTGCTACCCAGCTGACAACTCCTGCCTCGAGCAGCAAACTTTACAGTAACAAAATTAGCAACACTAACACGTGAGGCATGCGTCGCTACGGTCCGCAAGCCACAACCTGTTCCGACATAACACCGAAACGCTTAACGTGCAATCGTTCCGCCTGCACAATCCGCACCTCTCAAGTTATACTCTCACAGAAAAGCCCATCCACCATCACCCACCTACCCTTTCAAATGCCGTGAAACCCTACCCCTTACAGCCGGCAAGCACACACTTTTGCTGTGGAGTGTGCAGCCAAATCCGTCCAGCCTACCCAAGCCTGAGAAGAATCAACTTTCCAACCGAAGGAATTTCAGGCGAGTGTTCTCTGCCGACGGTTCCTTTCCTGTCTAAAATTAAAAGCCTCACAAATCTCCTAGACGTGCAAGCCGCAGGCAACCTGCCGACTCCTTTCTTCACAGACACCCTGAGCTGCGAAGACGCTGCACATGCGGCACTGCAAGCCCCTTCCGAGTGCACGCAGTGCCCTAAGCGCGCGAGGGAACATCTTCCCAATCGAAGGAACTCGCTGCCCTGGACACGCAAACCCCTCTCAAGGCAGCACACGCTCACCAAAGGTCTGCATGCGAATTTCGCTGTTCAGCTGCATCGCTGCATCCATCAACCTGGGCAAAACACGGAAATCAAGCTTGGGGACGTCTACACTGATGCGCAGGCGCGGGTCGAAGTCACCGAACTGCTTGTTTGTCAGTGCGTCCGCAAGGACGTTCTGCTCTCCCCCCATGACGGGGACAATTTAAGACCGACCCCAGTGCATCCAGCTGTACCGCCAGCTCCATCAAGATGATCGACAGCGGGAAAGCCGTTGCCATCATCTTGTCCACCACTGCCGGCATTGTCCGTAAAGCCAGCAATGACCGCTGTCGTGGTGCTCTCGCGCCACACTGCTCCAGGCCCGAAAACACAAACAGCGACCAGTGTAGCAACGAGCTCCAGAGCTCCAATGGCACGCCTTTGACGTACGCCCACGGCGCCGACTTCTTGTCCAGCCTAACGGAGAACCATCGTGCTTGCTGAGTGTCACCAACTCAGATGAATTCTGAAAACGTCCTGCACATGCGACAAAGACTTCGGGGCGGTCATTGGCGCACGCTCGACTTCCTTCTTCATGAACTCCAGCAACAAGCAAATTGACAAAGGCTGTGTGGCGACAAGTCCCGGTGGCAGTTCTGTGGCAGTTGAGCCACCCCGCTGGTAGCCAATCCAGCCTAACGACGTACCCCCAGCAACTGTCTTCCAGGACAAAGGGATCTCGAGAAGCTCGAGGACATAAGCCAGAAGAGCATGCGCAATCAAAAGCCCTGCCCCGACGCAAGCAACAGTCCGTCGTGGCAGCCAACTCGCACAGATAGTGCGCCAAGTTGACAGCCACGGCTGCGAGCCGCTGCCAATAATAAGCGGCCGATGCAAAGCCGAAGGCCCGACAGTGTGCATGTAGATCACCTCCGGGTCATCAAGACAAAGCGCTTGGTACTTCCAATCTTCCTCTCTTATCGGGACCAAGCTGTGCACTCTGCTGACGTCATACTTAAGGCCAAACCTGACAGCTGGCTTACGCTTGCAATGATCATCGGGGAGCGAAGCCTGTCTCGAACGCGAATGCGAGGGTTCACCTCCACATGGTGTGTGGCGTCATGGATTATGCGGACAACCGACGATCCTGCCTTCTTCGGAATAGCTCCAAGCGCCGCAACAGCCAGGTGACCACCAAACTTCTGCAAGGCCTCCTCTTTCGAAAAGGCCACCACGGATGCGCATTGCAGACCCTCCTCCACCTGCCGACGTATGTCGTCCATGTTTGCTGTTGCCGAGCTGTAATTCTCACAGAGTGGAGGCTCACAGGTAGATTCCAGCTCGTCTTCTCCTCGCGAAGACCGCCGGCGTCCGGGGCATCAGCACATCCACTCCCAGCGTGCACCCGCACTGGCAAACTCGCGCAGGAACTCGTAGTCCGGGTCCTCCGCCACCTCCAGCATCGCGGCCAGCCGACGGAAGTTCGCTTCAGTCCTGCGATCGCCAGTACAACGCTCCGGCTTCATGCCACAACCACGCAAGACTTCATCCGCCTCCTGCCTGGCTTGCACTAGATGCCGCTCATCAAAAGGCGACGAAGAACATCTGCCGGCAGCGATCTGCCATCATGTTCTCTGCACGCCAGCAACCGACGCCTTCGAGTCCGCCAGCTTGACCCAGTCCAGGAACCAGCACCGCAGACATTGCCTGACTCGGGCGAAGCCATCTGACTGAGGGAAACGCCGGGACGAAATCGGCCAGCTCCCCGGCGAGCACAGACCACCGCCAACTACTAGCCTGCAGGCAAACAGTTTGCTGCTCAGCTGACAACTCCTGCCTCGAGCAGCAAACTCTACAGTAACAAAAGTAGCAACACTAACACGCGAGGCATGCGTCGCTTCGCTCCGCCAGCCACAACCTGTGCCTGCATAACACTGAGACGCCTAAAGTGCAATCGCTCCGATCGCTCCTGACAACGGAGAAAGCGAAGCGGATCTGCAATGGCTCTTTTCTCGAGTCGCTAAAGGTCAGTAGCTGTAAACTCAAGAGGGCCCCCTATGGAGCCGAACGGCCGCGAAGCGTGGAAAACGTCAACACAGCTGACTGCCACAAAGGCATTTCTCAGCTCCTCAAAGTTTCTTTGACCTTTTCGTTCATCTCGGCTTCACGGTGCCTGTCTGCCGCCTATACAAGCGATCTTTCATCAGATCGTCCTCGGCTTCCAGGCGAAAAGTGCCGCTCTCTATCAGCTGAACCAACGTATCTCGGTTGGCCCCCAGCTTCGTCAAGGAGTCCACCGGCATACTCTGGTGCTCTACCCACCTCAGTTGAACTCCTAGGCCCTCTATCTTCTCCCTGGCAATCGTCACGTCCAAGGCGGTGAACTTGTCCTGGGCCTGAGCGCCCGTCTTCATCAAGTTATCGTATAAACTCTTTGCGTCCACCACTGAAAGCGACTCCTTCAGAACTTCGTCGGCATTGCTCTTTTGCAAGACTATGTCTGCCTTAGCCTGGACACTGTCGCGAAAGCCCGCCAAGGAGAAGTTAGGGTCCAGCATCTCTCGCCAAGCCCCTTCAGAAGCGCAGAAGCGATTGGGCCTCTGCGGCTAGCGTCGATCCCACCTTTCTTTTCAACTTCGAAGACTTCCACCACACCAGTGAGCAGGCCGCCCGCTCACCGTTCAGGATGGCCTTGTCAAAAGCCACCACCGCCAAAGCGCCCTGCACGCACCGTCGCTGTGGTTAGCCCAAGAAGCGTCCGTGATAGTGCCCCGGCCCAGGTGGGAAAGTGGAATCGGGAAGAACTTTAAGGTGAGGTCGCGGGTCTGCTTGGCGACCTGGATGGCCTTGTTGATCTCGGTCAGGTCCTTCACCTTTAAGTCTCCCATCCTCGCAGCCAGCATGCTGGCTGCTCCGGCCAGGTCTGGCCGACCCTCTTTCGCCAGCCAAGCTAGCGAACCTGTGGCTCCACGGGCCTTTTGCCGCTCCTCCTCGGTAGCCGGGGCGTCTGGCTCTGAACGCCTCCCCCGGGCAAGGCACATAGGAGCGCCTTGAGCAAGGCGCTCCTCCACGAACTTCGCCATGTCGATTTTTATGACAAAGTCCTTAGTTTCCTCCGCCCGTTGAACATGGTGCCCTCCTCGAGGTCCTGGAGCATCTTGAACTTGCCGGACTGAAAGCGCTCGCGTAGTGCCTGAAGTTTGGCATTGTGGATGGTCCCGCCGAAGGTCAACATGTCGTCGACCTCGATGACAATCACTCCTTCCAAACGGCTTTCCTCTGGGCCCACTTGCTTCATCTCTTGCTCGGTCTTGTACAGCAGGAAAATAGTGGCGTCTAAGCGCGACTGCCTGCACCCCAACTGTTCCACCAGGAAGGCTTTGAGTGTAGCCCGCCAGTGGGCCGGCCTGTCCACCAAACCGTAGATTCCCCGGACTATTTCGATCAACTGGTCCTCGGTGGCATTCGGCAGGTGGCTGCGGCGTGGCTGCCGCACGTTGAGCTTGCCGGCCGCCCGCACGAGCGGGTCGCTGTGTGTAAAGGCCACCTTGAGGTCCCCACAAGCACCTGGTGGGCGAAGCGTGCTGACCAACTGGAGCAGCACCTGAGTGCTTAGTGTAGGAGCGCAGGCCTCGATCTCCGCCGAGTCGGGGTCTCGGTCGCCCGCACCAGATTTGAAACTGGGTGCTTCGCCCAGCTGTTCCCCTGGTTTCCTCCGGCGCACGATGCGGGAGTCGATGATGCGGTCCCCTTTGCCTTGCGCCTCTGCGCGTACTTCTGCTGACTCCTCTGGGGTCAGAAGCCGGACCGCGCCTGAAGCCAGTATCCGCCTTCTCCCATAACGGCCACTCGCTCTCCTGGATGTCTTTCTCCCGCTTGCCACCTTCTTTGCGAGGAAGGTGTCGGTCCACACTTCGAACACGCCTTGGTCGCCGTGCTCCTGGATCTTCTCTTGTGCCGCAAACACTTTCTTGAGCTCCTTCTTGGCCGCTTCGGTCAGGTAGAAGTCGGTGTATCCCCGCCACTTTGCGGGTGCCCGTTTGGCTGGCCTTAGGTCTCGCCAGGTCTTTGGAACTGCTTCAGCTCCACCGGAATTCGCGAGCCTTCCCAAGGAGAGAAGCTCGCGGTCCTCCACTTGACATGGTGTCTCCTCAGCCGCCCCTTGCTGAGCAGCAGTTCCCAATGATCCCGCTGCGGTGCTCTTTGTCCACTTCCCGGGCTCGCGACCGCAATCTCCTCCAGCGTCTGCTCAAAGAAGTCGTGCTGATCTTGCCCGGCAATCACATAGTACGGCCTCTCTGGCCTTGGGTCCTTGGGTCCTCCTCTCTTGCTCTGTCGAGGAGGTCGCGCGCACCGCCTAGCCGGCGTTCTCAGCTGCGGCCGGGGGCGGTCTCGCCAAAGCCGGCGCAGCCCTCGGTTCCGCCTCCACTTCACCATGGGGCGGCGCTTTGGCATCAGGTGGTAGAGGCTCCTGGTCAGGTCGGTCACGACCCTGCTCTCCCGGGCCGGAGAGCTCAAAACGGCCCCGCATATCCCGGAACACGTCGTTGACTGCCTTGATGCCGCGTAGCTCCTCCGAAGTTCCGTCCCAGCAGCGCAGCGTCCACCATCCCGTCGGAGAGCAACTCTCCCGTAGTCTTTGGATTTTCCCCAGCATCTCTGGGCCGGGGAAAAGCCAGATCTGTCTGAGAGCCGGTTCTTGGCCGACTCCGTTTCCCGCAGCAGCAGCTTGAACTCGTCACCGTCCGTCGGCGGGCAGGACCACATAGCTTTCTGAAGAAGCGCCCGAAAAAGTCCGCCGTGCCGCTCGCAGCGGTCGTTCTGGTGAGGCGCTCTCGCGCCTATGGTGTGCATCAGGACGCCCAGCTGGTGACAACGGTCCCGGCACTCTGCTAGGAACTCCGTGCCCTGGTCCACCAGGATCATCTGCGGCATCCCAAACACACGGGCCCAGCTCTTCAAGAAAGCTTGCCAGACCGTAATCGGGGTCTTCGCCCGGACCTTTTCGACCATCTGAAAATTGGAACCCAGGCAGGTCATGTTGAGGTACTTCTCGGTCCCATGGCCGTCCCAGGTCGGCAGGTCGAATGCCACCACCACATTGGGAGCGTAGTTCCTTGGCACTGCGGCAGGGCGAGCAGCTTTAGGCATAACCCCTGCGTCGCACACTGGACAGTGAAAGTGCTTGCCGGCCCACCGCCAAAGATGGCGGTGAACCTCCCAACCGCAAGGTGCGTGCCAAGGTCGCCCTGTCGGGGTGCCCCAAGTTGCGATGTAGCTTGGCAATGGCTTCCTTCTCCTTCTGGTTCGGTTCCCGGACCGGCGGCTCCTCGGCTTCCTCCGCTTCTTCCATGTCGGGCACCGTGCTCCAGGTTGTCCAAGTCGATCGGGTACGCGTCGACGTGGTAGGCCTTCCTCACGCGAAAGCCAAGTTGTTTCGCTTGGCGAGCCGGAAGCGCTCCTTCTCCGTCGTGTTGGTGGCCAGGCCCTTGGTGCGGTAGGAGGAACGCCGCCGGAGGTCGAAAGGAGGCTCTTCTTAAGCTCCTTCCAGGCCAATAAACGGCATGCGTGCTCCATCTGATGTTTGTTGCCGGCCAGCCGTATCGTCAACTGGGCTGGCCGCTCCCGGGCCCAAGTCGCCCACTCTTCGGCCCTCTCCTGCGAGCTGGCTGCCGCGTTGAGCTCCTTCACAATGGCCGGCTCCGTGGCGCTCTCCTGAGGAGTGTCGAGGTGGTGGCCGAGAGCCTCTAGGTAGTTCGCGCCATCCTCGCCGGTGTGGTCGCCGATCGGTCTCCTTCAGCACCAGGAAGACCTCTTGGCCGCTCAAAACCACGGTCCGTCTTGATCACGGCGAAGTCCGGCCGGTGAAGCCCGCCATCTCTGCACTGCTGCGGCCGAGGCCGCCTTGAGCACCTTGGTCCCGCACTCCGACCGCAGCTCCCGGTCTAGCCCCTCAGCAGCAGCTTCGCGATCTGGGACCTTTGCTGCAGCAGGTTCTGGTAGAGGCCACGATCTGGTGCGCTGCCGCCTGGAACTGATCCGCCGACTGGGCCCACTCCAGTCGCGTCTCCCTCGTCGGAAAATGCTTGCTTCGCGGAATCGCGGACGGCATCCATCGCCTCCTTCTGCGTCCCGCCTCCATCTAAGGGGCGCCGCTTTCTCTGCCAGCTGAAAGTCCAGCGTCTGGCCAGTGAGGAGATCCACTTGGTCGACGTCCTCCTTCTGACGCGTGATCACCTTCAGGTACTCCTTCTTCGTGGGTGTCACCGTCGGCGTCGGCATTGGCCCTTCCGAGCGGCTCGCCGGAGGAGCCCGCGTCTTTGGTTTGGCCTGGACGGTCGTCTCCTGCAAAGGCCTCTTGATGACCCTCGCCGCGGATCTCGGTGACACCTCGAGTGGCACTGGCTGCAGTGGAACCAGTTCATGTGGCCGTTCCCGCCGCCCTTCAAGAACCGCGCCTGGTGGGTGCAATCCTCCACGGAGACTGCCTGCACCGCCGAGAGCTTCTCCGGGTTCTTCTCGTGAAGGTACTCGTGGTAGAAGGCCGACTTGTTGGTGGGCCCTACGGTCTCCTCCTTCTCGGCATAGCCCCTAGCCAGCGCCGGCGAAGGGGACGGCACACTGCGCAGCCAAGTCGAGGCTGGGGTATGATAGTGACCCCAGCGCACCAAGCAATAGAGCTTGTCCAAGAGTACCCGCCAGTTTCGCACGGCCAGCCTGTGACGATTTACCACTCGCCTTCCGGACCCTGACGACGGTTGGGTCTTTCTGGTCTCTTCCAGCAGGGCGAGCGACGCCAGCATGGCCAAACAGGTTGCAAAGCGATGGGGCACACATGTGGTTCGGCTTGAACCCCAGCTTCGGCACAGCCCGGGCATTGATTCGAAAGTCGGCTTCTGAGCGAACTCCTGTACATGCTGTAGGAAACTGCCACTCCTGCGCACCAAAGTCGACGACTGACAACAGCAGGGTGACCACTGGGCAACTCTATCATAGGGGCTTCTGCCGAACACTTGGTAAAGGAGAGCACTTCCCGCTGAAATTCCACGACGGCCCCAAGAGAGCGAAGAAGCGAAACGGGAAGAAGTAGTGGAACGTCCTCCACCACCACGGTGGCTTCCAACACTCCACTCACGCCCGCGACACCCACCGGAAGCTCGACCACCCCGATCGTTTTAGCTGAGCCCCCTATGCCTCGAGCAGAGGACACCTTATCCAGCCACAAGCACCGAAGGCCGAGCCAACGGAGAACTTCACAAAGTCGAAGCAAAGCTGGCTTCCCGATCAACCCGGCTTGCGCTGCAGTGTCTACTATGGCTTGGTGCTCCGGCGTGACAACTCCTATGAACGGGCTTGGGTCGAACTGCTTCTTTTCCTTCTGGCCGCCCTGATCGTAGGTAACAAAGGCCACGCGCTCGCCCTTTGTCGACTCGGCGCTCACATAAAAGCTTCCTGAGGAACTCGAAGCCGTTTGGCTGGGAGTCGTGCTAGAAGCTGGGCGATTTCGGCACACTTTGCTCCAATGCCCTATCTGTCCACATGCGTTGCACCGCGTCCTCAGCTTCAGCTGCTCTATGTGGATCTTCCTCTGCTCCCGGTCCGCTCCTTTGCCCGCTCCTGGCCCAGAGCCTTTCTTGGACTTCCCAAAGGGCTGGCTGCCCTTCTTGCCGCCGCCTTTCCCGGAAGTCGGCGGGAAGGGCTTGTAGAACTTCCTCCCCAGCCGGGTGTCCTTCAGGTGCTGGCGCACTTGCTGGTATGTCGCCAGCGCTTCCAGCACTTCGTCTTCCTCGTAGATATCGTCCAGCTCGCCGTCCTGAAGGTTCACGTAGTCGCCGTCGTCCTCCTCCGAAGCCTCCTCGTAATAGACGCCCGGGTCCTCCTGGCCGTAGGGCTCGACCTGGGCCTCCTCATCGTCCCCGGCCGTTGCCGTCAAGAAGGTGCTCGTGGTGCACCCGCTCCAGCCTCCGGTCACCACGTCCAGGGAGTTGACTCCAGCTCTGGGCCAAGGTTCGCCTGACGGCAAAGTAGGGAGCCCGCCGCCTTCGAGGGCAAGGTCACCCCCTCGTCGTTCAAGACCGCCTGGGTGCGCTGGGCTCGCACAATGAACTCGGCGATGGACTCCTTGTGCCCACGCCGGGCTCCGAAGAACACTGCCTCCATCGCCCGGTCTCCACATACGGCTCAAACGCGCTCTTCAAGGCCTTGACCACCTCTTTGTAGCCGCCCGTGTCCTTGATCTTGTCCACCGGAAGCACGTCGACTGCCGCCTTGGCCGGGCCCTTCAAGACCTGGACTAGCTTCAGCCCTTGCTTCTCCTCCGGAACGTCCGTGCGCGCCTGCCACAGCTCCAAGTCACGAAGGTAGGCTTTGAAAGTAGTTTGGGAGATTCCCCGGAGTAGCCCGGCGGGGGATCCTTATCACGATAGGTCCAGCCACCGCCGTCACGTCCGGTTTGCTCAGCCATCTAGCTTGGCTCCGTACCTAACGTCCTGGATCGTGTAAAGGCTCGCGAGGGCGTCCGTGTAAAAGCCGGCGAGGTCAGTGAGCTGTAAACTCAAGAGGGCCCCCTATGGAGCCGAACGGCCGCGAAGCGTGGAAAAGGTCAACACAGCTGACTGCCACAAAAGCATTTCTCACTCCGCACAATCCACATTCGCCTACGGTGCCTCCCGGGCACTTGCAGTGTCTCCCCTGCGAGGACACCGATATAGCAACCATCAGCAGCATGAGTGCAAAATCAAACATATCAACACTGCGCTCTTTCGGCTGCCATCACAGGATGTCATACATGGGCCTATGCGGGATGCCGTGGACGGCTAGCGGGCTAGATCAGGTTTGGACTTGGATTGACCTCTCTCTCAGTGCAACCCTGGCTGGGCCAAAGTCCCTGCAACAAGTAGCGAGCAAAGTGATGTTGAAGTCGTATTTCCCTATGCAAAAGAGCACCCTTTTGCAAGATGTGGTGTCTTAGCCAGCTGCATCAAAAACACGTTCATCGTTCTGCCGTTGTGGCCGCTACAGCAAGCAAGCCAAGTGAGCATGCCGTTGCTTTGTCCGGCCTTCGAAAGGCCACTCCTGAGTGCCGCGGTCAACTGAGTCAAGGCTGGCGGGGTCCACCTGCACGTCTGTCGCAACCTGTCTTGAACAAGATGTTTGCAAGAAGTCGCCAAGCCTCATCCTCTGCCTGCTGATGGTTGCACCTGCCACTTCTGGAAAGGCCCAAACAAAAAGACGACGGACAACAACCAAAGGGTGCCTGTCAGAAGCTTGGTGTGGATCCGCAGACTCTTCACTACATTGTGCCGGAGGTGGAGGGGGTGGAGCTGGCGGAGCAGCCGGCGGAGCAGCTGGCGGAGCAGCTGGCGGAGCAGCTGGCGGAGCAGCTGGCGGAGCTGGTGGTGGCCGAAGGATCGCCGCGGCTTCCTGCAGCTGACGACCTTGCGAAAAGGGCCAGGACCCGAGCACTTGAAAAGCAACTTTTGAATCGCCTCCACCTCCATGTCGGAAGACATTGAGCCGTTCGCCTTTGCCTGCAAGAAGGGAAGGCGCCTAGCTGCGGATCTTCGAAAGCGTCTGCATGCAACTGGGCCTTTGCCGAAATGGCCCCTCTTACCATCCCCGCGCTCCCGCTTCGTTTCCTGTGGACTGTCAAGTTCAGCTTGTAGGTATGTCCACAACATGTTTCGCTCATCCAGATCGACGTTGGGGTCGCAGGGGTGCGAGAGCAGCTCCAGATGCTGAATCTGCTCAGATATCTGATGCAAGCTGGACAACCAGTGCTGCAAGTCGGCACTTCGACTGGAGGCTTGTGCCTGGGACTCCTGGGACTCCTGGGACAGCTGGGGCTGGCACGTAGCACTTGCGTTGCGCTCGTGGCGTGTTGACTCTTGCCTTTGCAGCTCCATCTCCAGCTCGAGCTGCTGCAACATTTGCTGGCACAGCTGCTGTTGTTGAGACATATGCAGTTCACGTTGCAATTGCTCCTGCAGCTCTTGGCATTGCTGACTCCCAGGCTCGCTTGCGTTGACGCGCTCCAGTTCTTGCAGGAGCTCCAGTCCGCTGATCCTCTGCTCAGTTCCATGCGTCTCCATTGCTTCACGCCGTTGCAATATAGCTGCGAGCTCTTGCTGAAGCTGATGCTTCTGGTGCTCGAATTCCTGCTGCTGTCGGTCGAAGTCTGGGACACTCTTGCCCGACGAGTCAGGCTCCCCAGGCTCAGGCTGTATGGGCGATGCAGGACTTCCCCCTTCGTTTGATATTGGCATTGGCTCCCCATTCCGGACTTCCATGACTTCCTGGTCAGCCTGCAGCCTTCTCAGCAAATGCGCTGGAGGTGGGGTGGACGGTGGCTTTGGGCCATGCTTCGCCTTCACATTGTCAGAAACCATCTCGAAAACCTGCTTCACAAGCTGCTGCAGCATTTCTACCGCGTGCCTAGCAACACGCACCTGCGGCGCTGCCATGAACGGCATCACCTTCTCGGGCTTCCAGTCGCCGTACAGCAGCTTCCAAAGAAGTGACAGCCCTTCCAATTGTCGTTGTCTCTCTTGCTTCGCCCACTGGCCAATTGAAGCCAGTGTCTGGATGTCCGATTCAGTTTGAAGTGCCGAACCCTCCTGGCATCGCTGCCGCACGGCTCCCAATGCCTGGTCAAGCAGCGCGCGCAGCTGGTCCTGCCATGCCTGGAGTATCTCAAGGTGTTGAAGGACGCGGCCCGTCTCCTCAAGAAGTGTTTCACGGTGCGTGCTTCGAAGCTGCCGAGTGTAGGCTCCATACCACGGAGGCCATGGCTTGCTTGGTTTGGTGGTGCCAGCATTTCGGCCCATAGTTCCATGGCGGCAGTAGGCATTGCCGCTGTAAGTCTCCAGCAAATGAGGAAGGCTGTTTCATCTAAACAGTCTGAGCGACCTTCAGGCCCTTTAGTAACCCTTCAAGACTTCAAGACTCTTGACACCTGGACGGATGATGAGCTGCTTACACCGGCATCGTCCGTAAAGAGTCCCTACGTACATCATCTTGGCTTGGCTAGGCAGTCTTGGGAATGTCTGTACCGCACTTGAATCCGGCTCTCATCACGACGGCAGCAAACCGCCTACTCCGAGAACACACTTGAGAACACTGACTGTGCAGGCCCCCGAAAACCTCAGCGTTTAAGCTGGAGGCCAATTCCGAAGAGGATGGCACCGGACATGAACAACCTAGATGATGTGCTGACGGTTCTGCATGGTCGAGTTGCCAAGCTCCCAGGCCCCAACACGAGGTTTCGCATTCCAAAGAATTCGCCAGCAACCCTGCCAAGTTGTTCGGCTCTCAGTGGCTCAATGCTTTTCGTGCTACCACGACACAAACTCCAAAAGAAGCAGGCAACACACGAGGAGGTCTTCTTGCATCCTCAAGGGACTGTGTTCGGCCATGCGCTGCAACAGTCAGTCAGGTAACCCTTAGGTGCTGGCATGGCCAGGCACCTTGGAGCAGCACTCTAGGTCAAGAACTATGGAGGCTGCATTTGCGGAGTACCTGCTGAGGTCCACATCTTCCTGGTCGAGTGTGCCTGGTCTCCTGAGCTGACGCCGAAGTGCCGCCATGATTGAACATGAGATGATGTGAGCGGCGGGCGCGAGGATTACAGCACCTTTCTCAACTGGCTTGCCGGACAAGGTGGTCAGGGCCTGTTAGTGGACGACAGCCAAGACGAATAGCACTGGAGAAGGAAGCGAGGCCCCAACGTAGTCATCCCGCATGTGTCGACCAAGGTCCAACAGAATCAACCTGGTCAGATTCTGTCCTCAAAACATGAGCTCCGAAAGGCTGAACAGCTCGGTGTGAACTTGGATTCTTGCACGCCCACAGCGAAGGATCCCAGGCAGCCATGCCAAACCTTCAGCACTGCAATGCTTGGCAAACAGCGAACCCATACCGCAGCACAGGTTATGAGCCCCCTACTGCGCAGAGGCGCTCCAGATACCCATAAACACCTGAGACCAGCCAGTGTTTGCCGGGGCGTGAATAAGCAACAAACAGAAGAAGGCCTTGTCGGTCCGACTCTGGCACTGCACCCGTCAGCCTGCACTGCACTGCACAGCACTGCACAAGCATCCTCCACTCATCCTGGTTGCGCTTTGGACATCATACCGTGGCTGAGGCAAAAGCACTCTTGGCACGGCATGCCTCAGCTGTTGCACATGGCCTTCTGTTGCTCCTAGCCTAGCGTCCCCTTGCCTAGCTGCTGCTAGGCCAAACCTCAAACTCTTCTGTCTGCGCCGCGCCCACACTAACTGCTTCGTGATTCTAGGAAATGCTCGTCTTATTCCAGACTAGCGCAAGAGAACTGCTGCAGCGAGCCCACCATATGAAGCACCGAATGAAAGGCTAAAAGGCTCACAAATATCGAGCCATCCTAGATCACGCACCGTGAGGGGGCACGATCGTCAAGTGAGCGGCTGTGCGAAGACCAGGGTATCTTTGCCTTACCTCCTGCCAATATCAGCCAACAAGGCACCAAACGTCTCGGATGCAGATTCATCGAGCACTTGGTCTGGCAGCATGGAGACGATGTCGCACAGGCTTGCACAAGTCATAATGAAAGTGCCCTTGTGTTGTCCCTTTTGCAACTGGCTTCCAACGTCACGCCTACTTTCTCAGCTGTCTGCACATCGCAGGTCGATCATCGTAACTCGATCATCGCTGGCACAGGTATGTTATAAGTTGTGGAAGACCGGGTCTCCATGGACATAGAATGGCCCTGCTGTGCTTTGTCCGATGCCTCAAACTCCTCGATGAGCCAAGCAAGAGATCATTTATACCGAGCTCATCTTCCAGGGAGCCATACAAGCTTGGGTTCTCAATGGCTCTCTTCCTTGCCCTGTTCTTCCGACAAGTAGAACGGTTTCCAGCACATGTTTCGAAAGGCAAGACTACGAATAATCGTTGCAAGAATGGCGAAACACGGAATCTGTCGAGCGCAGGCTCAAGTGATCAAGCACCCATAGCAACACCGGCCGTCCTGCAATGTTGGCTCGCATTTCGAGGGTCTTCAGCCTGTGCGTGGGGCTATATGGCCTGTAGGCTGCGCTTCGGCACAAGGAGCTCGCCGTCCTTGTTCTGGATTTCGCTGCGAAGACACTCCCGATCGGGCCATGGCATGACATCATCGTTCAATGGTGCCGGGCTACCATTTCTCGGGACAGGACTGCTTGCGGTCACGGTGTGAAATAGGCCAAGTCTGCTGGAAAGATTGCCTCACAACCAAACTCAGGTCGGGACTGGCCCTCCTGCAGAGGTGCATATGCAAAGGCTGACTGCTGGTCATCGGCGGCCGTGCCTTGAAGCCTTCTTTTCCCAATCCGGCAGAGCCAAACATACTCTTTGGGATGCTTGGCGACACACAAACTGGCAAGATAACTGCTCGCAATACTGCTATACACAGTGGACCTGCAGAGCTACTACGTACAAACTGTGACTGCTCAATGTTTGCCCGTTACGCGTAACGTCCTGTTCAGTTTAGGCCGACGCTGCATCTGCGTGGATTCTCTTCTCCTCACCCAGACCTCAATTGCCGAGACCTTGATGCTAAGCCACAGAAGACCCCAACCACAAAATTGTATCTGAAAATCCCGCGAAGGAAATGCTAAGGCTATGCAGTGTTGAGCATCACATCTTCAAGCTCTCAATGGTCTTGCCAATGTGAGGCAGGGCCAAAAGAAGCAGCCAAACAAGAGAGGTTGAATGCGTTTGAGCCGTAGAAAAACAAGTCGGAGAAAAATGTGTGCAGGTTAGCTAGCAAGCCCCCTCCAGCACCCAAGAATCACCATCTGCAGCATCCCACATGCCCAACAACCGGTTCTTCTTGCGGAGGCTTAGCTACAACCTGCTGCTGCATGCCTCCAATTACACAAACAACATGACTGGTTCATGCAAGCAGTCAAGGCGACACCCCATGACGAACAACATGCAAGCACATAGTAGAATAATCAACCTCCGAAGCCGGTGTGCAAATCTCGCTGGACATGATTGTCAACTTTTCGCGGCATGTCGATCATTCTGTTGCGGGTGCATGCTACGACTACTTAATTCTGTCGTGGCCCAGTGAACTCGCTCATGTCAAGTAGGCCGCTTTGCCATTGTCTTGCACATACTTGAGCTGCCAAGCCTGCAAAAGCCTTTGCAGCAGCATCCTACAATTGGACTGATCACTGGACACACGCAAGACTTGGATTGCGCTGATCAAATGCAGCCTCAAGGTAGATCGCAAGAGAATTTGCGAAAAGCAACACATCCGGCTGACCGGCCAACATTCCGGGCAGTCGGTAGCTTGTATGAAGCTGCACTAGGCATGCCACGGCTTTGTACACTATACAGCCTCCTCCATATGCACTCAACACATGTCAGCTGATAACTGGCCTAGCGCATGGTTACAAAACCAGTGCCATGTCACAATGTATGTGGACGGAACAGAGCAGCTTGAGGAGGTTCCGAAACCCAGGAGGCCTTCAAGAAGACCTGACGATGCGCTGGACCTGCTTGTTTGTGCCAATTCAAAGCATTCTAGTTCTGGGGCAAAAAAGTCGCCTCAGCACCTTGCCATCGGCTGCATTGGCACAAGCAAAACAGAAGAGCAGCTCTGTGTGCTCTCCAGCAAGGAACATTGGGTTGAAAGGCGACAGGCGCCAAGGCGCAAGATGGTGCAACGTGACACCCCTGGACCAGCTTGAAATCCGCGCTCACTCTATAAATTGGAGCCAAGCGCCGGCTGGAGCCATCTGCACTGTCAGAATGCAACGAAATTGACAGAACTCTAGCAATCTCGGGTGCGCTGTACGTTGCACCGAATAACACTAAGATGTTGAGGTGGTTGAGGTGAGAAAGAAAACGAGTCAACCGGCACCATGTGGACTTACAAAGTATTGTGACATGTTCGACTAGGGACCCATCGGTCACAGCTGAAAGTCGCGAAATTTGCAAGGTCCTGAGCAGGCAAGGCGCATTGCACTTGCCAGAGAAAAGCAGTGCTAATCGCAAGGCATAGTCAGAACAGGTTCTGACTGTATGCTCAGCTCTTGCTTTCTGACCTGCTGTGACCAACTACTATTTCGACAAGGGACTAGCAAACTCATGTTGATGCCTCGGGTTGACACTTCAAGTTCGTCATTCTTCGGAGAGCCGCAACGGCCGCTGTATGTTTACGTCAATTGCTGCCGCTGCCGGCAACTATGCTGACAGATTCGGCCGTTGAGGCAGTCATGTCAGAGCGTGGGATTGTTGTATGGCACGCTGCCGGGGCCTCTGCAGGCAGCATGCACGCTGTATCACGGAACCGCGCGCAGGCTGTGGGCGTCATCCCCAGTTTCAAGTTGATGTCGTCGAAAAGCCGTGCAACTTCAGGATCCGTGATGAACTGAGAGCAGTGGCTTACCATGTCCAGAACGCCGGCACGTGAACCCTGAAAGCCATACTGAGGCAGAATTCGGCGCTGTAGGGGTAAGGCTAGTTCGGCTCGACCCCGCAAGTGGTAGTATCCTTCGCATGCCTGCTCCACATCTGCACTGCGCTTCAGGCAGGAAATCCCGTTCTGGAAGCTTGGGCTGCCTTAGTGATGAAGAGCTTTCTGAGATTCTGGCTACGAGGCAAAGCAGGGTGCAACCTCCGAGGTTCCTATCAAATGAAGCCCCGAACAGGCTGCGACCAAAGCTTAGATTCCGTCCAGGACACTGAAAGCAGCCAGCTGCTTTCGCAACAGTTTCGCAACCTCAGCCATTTTGGGACAGCCTCGAATACCATCAAACCCAACTGGTGTGTGGCCTAGGGCCTCAGGACTACGGACATCATCATTGTGCACTTCACACGTCAGTTTATTGCAAGCGAAGAAGCAGTGAAAGCCGTGGTTGGCTTCGATCCCGTTCGGCCCAGTGGCCCCTGATCCCGTGGGGCTCACGTCTCATGACACCCACGGAATGGAAGGCATGCTGAAAGTCAAAGAGGCGAGAGTTCTCTCGCTCTTCGGCACTCGCTGTCTTGAGGCTCCATCGTAGACATCAGGTTCTTCACACACACACACACACACGCGCGCAACACACACACACACACACACAAGATGATGTCCCGTGATGATGGTGGTGGTCCCTCCAAGCCCCGCCTACCAAGAAGGCTGCAGTGCATCCTAGCTGTTATGCAGTGCAGTCCCACCAATTGCTTTCTTTGAGGTTGAAGATACTCGAAGCAAGCAATTCAGTCAGTAATTATGCTGCAACCCAAGCAGGATCAGAGATCAAAGCTGAACCAAAATTGTTGTTGGAAGCTGTCCGTTTGAGCCTGACGTGAACCCTGCAGCCTCAGCCCTTTTGAACCGAGAAGCTGGAACCTCTGAATTGGAGGTGCAAACGAAGCTTGAGCTTGCCATGGAGCTTACACCCGACAGCCTGTACCTTTACTTGGTTTTGTGGAAGGCTCTGGAGATGTTGTCGGTAATCCTTCCAGCAACTCGGGTGTACGCAAGGCTAATGCTATCGATTACTGTAACGACGGCCACACGAGTTGCACGGCAACCTCTCCACCTAGCCTCGATTCCGCCGACCGTTTCCAACATGAAGAGGTTTCCGGGTAGGGTCGGCTGAGCTACAGGATGGGGCAGAACAACTAGAAGCAGTTCCTTGCCTGCAGCACTCGGCGGGCACGACACAATAGAAAGCAGCGCCGCGTGGCAGCGAAGACAACAAAAGCCAAGAAGCTACGAGGACAGGAAAACCACAAGTCCAGAAGCCAGGGAGCCCCGTGCCCAGAAGCTAGACAGACGAGGAGCTGGTTACAAGCAGCATCTGTTAGCCAAGGCAGGAAGGTGCGGGCCTTGTCCGTCGTCAGCGCACGCCCCGTTTGGCAATACGGGAAGAGTGCCTCTTCGATGGCTACGGCATTGACAAAGATGTCTGCATCCTGGCACGGCAGCACACACACACACATACACTCACACACACACACACACACACACACACACACACACACACACACACACACACGCAGGCAGATGCCAGATGCATGATCGACGAGATGCAAAGACGTTCTGCCATTACCCCTCGTGCCAAGCATCATTGTCGAACTGTTGCATGTCAGTGTCCATGTCCTCCCACAACGGGGCGTGTTCGTGCGGCTGTTGCAGGTAACGCACACGCGGGCTGGCTCCTGCAGGCCCTTGGAGGATGCCTCGTAGCCGTACCTGGAGCTGTGAGACGCGACCTACCCACAACCAGCGGCGACTGTACGAACACCCGGGTCACACAGGCAAGATCTCGAGTTTGGTCTTCTCTAAGATTAAGTCCAGCTCTGCCTGCGAGAATCTACACCGGTCAATCGCACACTATTGTTGCGTCTACAAGGTCGTAGCCAAAAGAAAAAGAGTAATGACGCTGGCCGGGAAGCCCTGCTGTCGGCATCTTGCAGGTGCGTGAAATGTTTTCTGGACATCTCGGCCAACTTCTTCTGGAAACCAGGGGCAGAGAAAGCCCCAAGGAGCTCTGCCTGAAAGGCCAGAGCCCTTGCCTTCGACAGAATTCTTTTCTCGGTCTTCAGCGGTACAGACGGCTCCTGCGAAACCTCTTGCGACTTGTCCTCAATGAATAACTCCGCGGGCGAGGACTTCAAGCCTAACAGCTTCCACAGCTTCTGCACCTTGTCTGCGAGGTCTGGAAATTTCTGGAAGATCAATACGATGGGCCGGAGGCGCTCCACACCAGTTCCGGATTTGAAGCCGTATCGAGCGAAAATGTCGGCATGGCACTCCTCCGCCAATGCCCAGCGGCCTGGCGATTCGTCGCAAACTTCACCTTGCTGGGCTTCCTTCTGCAATATGTCGCCCAGCTTGTTCTGGAAGCTTTTGGTAGAGTACTCGCCAACCAGCCTGAGAATCACAAAAAGGATGCTATGCTGTTTGAACAAGTTGTGTAGCTCTTACAAAGCACAGCGGTCAGTCGTGCTTTCTTCTGCAGACTGCTGCGGTCAGCAGAACGATAACGACCAACTTGTGTTCTTCGCGGCACCATGTGGCATGTAAAGGTTAGCATTCATGGATCAAACATCGGCTTATCTTCGCCACAATGCATCCGCGTGAAAGTGCTTGCACGACTTGCCAGCGAACCGACTGTTACGGAGTCTGCAGCCGCATTAGCGGACGGCCAAGTGTGCACTCCAGTAGATTTTTAGTTTAGAGATGCCAAGAGGCTCCATGAGCATCGCCTTTGCTCGTGCCCGCGTCATCTTAAGCACTTGTGCTTCTGCATCCCGACACTCAGCCATGGCGTCGCTCCGAAGAATGTATGATTATGGTATCAGGGCTGTTTTTTGTGATGCCAGCCCTTGAGTGAAAGCAGCGGAGGGCCGCATCTCCGTAACCATGGAGGCTGGATTCTCGATGAAATTTCTCGTGATAGGACACTTGGTTCAGGCGAAGAAAGTCTTCGGTCCCTTAGCAAAGCCGAGGTCCGGCTTGGGTGCGCCAAGTCCGAAGTCCGAAGGGGAGGTGTGAGCGCTTCCAGGAGTTACTTCCATTGCTGCTGGCAAGACAGATGTTGCATGTCTGGCTTCTGTCTTACATGCTTTCCTCGAAATTCTTAACCATGTCATTGCGAATAAACTCCACACACCCACACATCCCACACTTTACACATACTCTGTAGATGGTTTTGCGTGCTTGCTTGCTTGCTGGCTGGCTGGCTGGCTTCCTTGCTTTGCCCTGCTTTGCCTTGCTTTGCCGTGCTTTGCCCTGCTTTGCCTTGTTTTGCCTTGCTTTGCCTTGCTTTGCCTTGCCTTGCTTTGCTTCGCCTTGCTTTGCTGGCTTGCTTGCTTTTGCTTTGCTTTGCTCTGCTTTGCTCTGCTCTGCTCTGCTTTGCTTTGCTGGCTCGCTGGCTTGCTTTGCTTTGCTCCACTTTGCTTTGCTCTGCTTTGCTTTCCTCTGCTTGCTTGCAAGCCGTGTGGGGTTGGGGAAGCACCCCCGCCTTCCCTTGCGCTCGCGCGCAGCGCTAGAGTCCGAGTCTTCTGGTTAGTACTTGTAGGCGTGAGACGTGTAGTGATCCCCGAGCTCTTCGCGGCACAGGAGCCCCGAACATCCACTCAATTTAGCTCTCTCTCTCTTGCTTGCTTGCTTGCAAAGCGTGTGGGGTAAGTAAGGGGTTGGCCCCCAAAACCCCTGCGCGTGAGCGCTACGCCAGAGTCTATGTTCCGAGTGAAACTTGTTGAGCAACTGGCAGTTGGCTTTGCTTTGCTTTGCTTGGGGTGTGAGGCGGGTGCAGTCCAACTGGCATTGGCTCTCTCTCTCTCTCTGTCTCTCTATTTCTCTTTCTTTCCTTCTTTCACCAGGCATCTCTCACTGTCTGTCTGTGTCTTTCCTTTCGCTAGCAGCTAGCAGAAGCTAGCAAGTGAACTTGTCGAGGTCATTCCCTCGAAACCTTGCAATCTTCCCAAGGCAGAGATTCCAATCTCGGACTGTCTCAGGGAGTTCATTCCTCCGACTTCTCAGCTCTCAAAGGTGCATTGCACTACGAGAATGTTTTGCAATCGGGTGATCGTGTCACTTGATTCACTGTCCTCTCTTTCTGCTTCTTCGCAAGCTCTTGCTGTCAGATGCTTAGCATGTCCGCAGTGTTGATCCTTGCTCCTCCCTTTTCCTTGTTTTGTCGCTCCTGGAATGACATCTGCGTTGATGATTGCTCGCCCCCGCAACATCTTACCTAGCACAGGCTGACATGTCAAAGGGAGTTCAGCCGCTGTTGCGGCTCAAGCTCTGACAGCAGCGCAGTAGAACTGCGCAGTCGCTGTCGCCCGTCGGGTTGGGCCGCAACGCTACACCATCCGGCAAGAAACAAGGTCGATTAGCAAAATCTCCTGCTGGACAAAGTCCAATGATGAAGTTCGTCCAAATGCCGGTGTAAACATAGGGGGCATGGCCTCGATACGAGTTGGTGGCGCTTCACAGCCAAACCTCGGGAGCCTTTGAAACGTTTGAGTTCAGGACTCCCCAAGGGCCACAGGTCATGTCCACGCTGCAGGCTTTGAAGAGTACCACCTGCCGAACACCACCGAGTTGTACCGAAAGCCTCCGAAGGTACGAGGTCCCAGCAATCGCGAGCGCACAGTAGACGGCAATCCTGGCGCTGAAAACATGAAGTCATCAAAACGAAGAAATTCCAAACGAACGACCGGGCTGACCGGGGATATGGCACCACTTCCTGAGTAACATAAACCCCAACACGATAGAACTGCGGAAACTCCAGAAGCAGCGCACATAGGATGCCTTTTTACGGAATTTCCTGTAACCAGCTGATCTGTAAGCACATTGTTGCCAAGAATCACATTCGGAACTTTCGGATTCGAAGCACCTTCGCAGACTCAAGCATCTCCTGAAGCTGTACGCTGTACTGTTACTGACTACAGAACTTTGGCTCGCACATAGGAGCGATTGGTCCATCTGTCGTAGCACCTGGCGTGGGGAGCATTCCTAGCGGAACTGGTATGCGACACGCCACCAAGCTCGACAGGTTCAGACTAAACCCTCAGGACTCATGGATGAAGACGCGCGATAACTGATACCAAGTCTTCTGCGTGCCAGGATTGGAGCTGCTGCTAACCTCGTAAGCAAGCAGCTCAGAACTGCTGAGCGATTCGGTCGCTACCCCTCTAAGCCAGGCACACAAGCACAACTAGCCAAAACACTATCGTGCCGGCTTTCACCGAATTGTGATCCTTGGTAGCTGTTCGGTGCCAGTCTCCGCATAAAAAACATCAGGCATCAAGCAAACGAAATGAGGGACGCACTGTCGTCCTGGCCTTTCGCTCGATGCGCCAAGCCTTGTACGTGCGAGGAGAGGCAAAACTTGCAGTCAACAATCTGCGAGCTGCTGGTCGAGCTCCCGACAGCATTGTTTGTTTGTGCCTCCAGCCGCTCACGCACCTCGACACAAAACTCAGCAGAAGGCTTCATCCAACTGAAGGCAATGACTGCTACCTGCCTCCCCCACCGTTGGGCGGCTATCCCATGGAGGCTGGAAAGGCATGATGCTGTCGTACCATCTCCTCGCGTCGGCAGGAGCTCTTTCGCGGCGAGCCACCGTCCAACAATCATCTGTTGTTAGCAGCGCATCACCAATGCGACCTCTTCCCACAGAACCGCTCCTTGGGTATCGCTGCTTCAGGGTTGCTTCGCTGCCTGCGGATTTCTTGCGAATAGCACGTGCATGCGTCGAAGCGATGCCATACAAGGCCTTCTTCGTCCTGTGCTCTATGAGCCTTCTGCCGCTGCATTTCTTGAAGACCTTGAGTGGAAAAAGAAGTCCGTGCTGAGAGGACGGACCGGTCGAAGGCTCCGCACGCGTACTCATCACGTACGTGCTCACAACACGCTCCTTGGTGACAACAGGCCAGGTTGCTGCGCCCTCGACTTCGATACTGCTGAAACTGCGGTGACTGCTGGCGCATCTGTGCGTCTTTGGGGAAAGTTCTCTGGGACAGTTCTCTGCTCTGAACTTCATCCTTCGGTCAGCGGGCATACCGGGAATGCAGCAGCTTGCAAAACGCACACCGCTCTAGCTCTAGCGGTTTCACACCACAAAAGTGCATCACCACTTCGCATTGCTAGGTGCCGCTTGCAGACCTTTGCTGAGGAGTCTGCTCGCTGCTGGCGGACCTAAGATGGATGCCATGCCTGCGTAAGGAAACCTCCGCATGCGAGTTGAAAGGCGAGAGCTGCTGGGCCGAGGTGCTACTTCGGAGGCTGCCGTGTTGTCCTGCTCGCTTTCGAGCAGGCTCTGCTGCCTTGGTGCTGCACGGAGGCCGCACGCTCGTCTTGATCCATAGAAGTAGCAGTACAGCAGTACATTTTGTCTGAGGACCAAACGCCTTCTCCTGAACCTCCGCCTGAAGTGGAGAAAAATCTGTCGGGGCATCACCAAACATCTGTCTTATTCGAGAAACCGTGAGGTTGCTGATTGCTTTGCAGTGTTAAGAACAGCACTACCTTCTGGTAAACATCATCCGAGGCATCATTCCTGACCAGATCTTTCTCTGCAGGGCAGACACGAGAGGCCTGCGCCAAGGACCGGACCCGGTGCCAAACACCTCATTCCAACTACGTGCGGGAGTTGCGGAAGCGGGCCAAACTTCTATAGCGACGAGGCTCCGGAGCACAGCCACTCCGGTCCTTCGTCTGACTTGCACTAACCTCAGGCACCAGGGCTGTTACATCTGGTACGAAGCAGAGCAGCACTTGGAGGAGTACCGTCGTGCCAGCCTCGCTCCCTGACAGTCCCAATCCGAGCAGCGAACAGCTGGCGCAGACATGCGGCATATACATGACACGAACAACCAACCTGATTGCAGGGAGAGCGCCATCAGGTCTGTTTTAACCTGACGGCTCAGCCTCACGCCGCACAGCGTTGCTTTACGATTGCCGTTGCTTGCCCTGGCCGGCCTGGTGCGTGTCGCTCGGTTCTATATGGCCCAACCTGGAACACTCGGTTCATGAAGCATACTCGCGGAAATCTCTTGCACAAAGACCCTGACGGAAGTATTCAATTAAATGGCCATAGAAAACAACCCACCCAGTCCGTAGTTTGAGCCCATGGCCGTGGAATACCAGCAAATAACAAATGCCAGTGCTTCACAGCTGCAGCAGCACTACTAGTCAACAGACTCTTCCGCAGTTCCCCATCCTTGTTTCCGGACGGGGCGAGACCATGCGAGACTCTTGAAGGCTTGATTGCCGGCTGTGGCCTCTCAGCCCTGTACATGCATCACTCTTTAAAGAAGTGATCAAACGCACTATTGCCTCGAAGCCATGCTTCTTCGACAAATGAAAAACAATCCGTCATGCCTCAGGGGCCACAAAGCCACGCTCTTTTAATATTGTCTCCGCAACCGCAATGTCTTCGGGGGTAGTAACTTTGATGTTCGTGTACTCGCCTTCGGTCAGCTTGACTTTTTCGCCCAGCTGTTCCACCAACGAGACATCATCAGTCACATCCAAGCCCTCCTTCTCAGCCTTTTCAAATCCTTTGCGTAACAATTCGCTTCGAATCACTTGTGGCGTGTGGGCTTCCCACAACAGTTTCCGTTTTGGGGTGCTCTCGACAAAGGCGTCCGACTCACCAACAGCCTGCTTGATCGTAGCTTTAGTGCGAACGGCAAGTAGAGCTGCGCCATGTTCTCGAGCATCCGCAACCACTCTTTCCACTTCCTCCTTCGTGACGAGAGGACGGGCTCCATCATGTATGGCTACAATTGGTGCATCAATTTTTGCTAGACCGTTGTTGACGGAATCTTGTCGCTCTTTGCCTCCTGTTGTGAACTTCACATCAACCTCAGTTGGACCTACTTTGTCCAAATGGTCTTTGAAAACGTGTTGCCATTCTTCTGCACAAACAATTACGATCTCTGCAACATCGCAGGCCAAGAATGTGTCCAACGAGTGCAAAGCAATCTCCAAGCCCATCAGTTTGATGTACTGCTTTGGTATGCTGGCACCCATACGCTTTCCAACACCAGCCGACAATAGCACCACACCAACGTCGCTGCCAGCCGCCCGGCAGACTGTTTGTGAGGACCTTCCACTCCTTCGAAGGCGAGCTTGGTTTGACGCGCTCCTTCTGCCGTTCAATACGGCAAACACTCCACAAAGAGCAACGCCAGATGCTTTCCAGCCGTCTGCACATTTAGTGGGCGATGGACGTGTGTTGCCACGTGTGGATGCTGGCGCAAGGCCAACACGCTTCACATCTGCCATCTGACTACACACGAAAGACAAAGGCAAATCCTTCCAAGGATGCTCTGCGCTTGCACTGCCAGGCGATAACATCCACAAACTGTAGCAGCTGCAGCTGCAGAAGCATACCGCAACAAAACGGTTCATGGCGGCCCGGATGTTTCGAGTAAATCTTGCACTGAGCCCAGAGACAGCGCGAGCATTTGGCCCCTCATGCCAACTCCCTTATGGGCGCTGCTGATTCAAAACTTGCACAAGGTGTGGCTGCTTTGCGGTTTTGGGCTTGGCCACATGTGCAATACCTCTTGTGTAAAGTCTCTTTCTTGTTTGCTCGCTGTTTTGTGACCGGGTGTCCGTGGCGGTCCCGAAGCATCCTCCATGCCCCAGTCCAAGGCTGCAGCTCAAGGCGGAGTGAGTCAATCCAAAACGCCAGAAAGCAGCTGGAGCGTGCGCGCAAAGCAACGCACTTGAGGTGTCGAGCACTGCGGTGGCAAACTTACGCATGAGCCGGGGCGCAAGCGAACTGGGCTCGCGGGGCGAAGCAGCCATGGGACCTGCGTGTCACCAATTTGCGGCAACGCATGCAAGAGTTCCCTGTGCCGGGCATTCAATTCTTCGAGGTGACGTGCGATAAACGCCGGCGAACCGAAGGAAGTGCCAAGCAACACCACGCCGCAGCTTGTGGGTTCAAGCACGTGGTCACCGAGCCACATGCGACCGTCGGACTGGATTTCCTGCAGGCCGTCAGGGGCGACGCCAGCCTCATTCCAAAAGGCCGTTGGCCGTTGTGGCGACCTTTGGCGACATTGACACGCAGCCGTGTGTGGCGCGCAAGCCGGGTTCCGGATCGCCGCACCAGGCGCACAGCGCTCGCCGAGGCCATGCGAGGATGGTGACATCGTCGAGGTAGGCACGATGCGTTTACCATCGTTCACCTAGATCCTCGCGGATCTCCTGCTGGAGCCGTAGTGCACGCCACAAACCCAAGCAAAACAGAGCAGGGCTGAGGGGTTCCCTTTTTGTACACGCACCTTTTTGCACCTGCAAGTCAAGGAGGGTCCACGTCACGGTGCCAACTTCAATCTGCGGCGGCGGGTTCCGCTTGTTCGACTTTCGGCTCGGCTGATGCGTCGGGAAGCTAGGCGGTGTCGCCACATGAACGAAAAGGGCCTACAAGGCGGCTGGAAGGCAGAAGCAGTCTGCTCTTCCGGAAGCTGCGTGCCATGCATGTGCATGCTGATGCCGCCATACACAACAGTGGACCCAGGGGTGGCCCCAGACGCTGGTGTCGACGGTTCCACCGGACACTTGTTCCTACCTCTCTGCACCGGTTGACTGCTCACTTCGCTGTTGATGGCTGCTGCCACCCTTTCCTGCAAGCGAAGGTGCAAACGATCGTGCCAGTGCACGTGCTGCGCGATCGACCTGTTCCGGGTCGATGGGTTCATGCGGCTCAAGTGGTCGGCGGGCCGGGGTCGGCAAGCTGGTCGAAATGTGCGTCGGTAGCGAGAGGTGCGGCGGTGAGTGCCTGTCGCGTTGCAGACTTCGGCAGGGTGAGCTAAGTTCCGGGCTCGGCGTGACTCATCATCGGGCGCCGCGGGTGCACGGCGGTTTGTCGAAGCCGGAGGCATCTTGAAGCATGACTTGCACCGGGGCCGGAGCAAAGGCTTGCGTACTTCGATGATGTCCACATCCTTGCCTCACCAGCCCTTGTTGCACTGCTTTACCGCCGTCTTGGGGAGCCGATTTGGCAAAGCCCGACTGCGCCTTATGCGGCCGGAGTCCTGCCTACTGCTGTCTTGCAGCTCGCGCCCGAGTCGCAAGTGTTGTTTGATGATTTCGCTTTAAGCCAAGAACAGTGCGGTCTCGTTGCCTTGGGCGTCCCGAGTCGCACTTGCAACAGTCATTCGCTCGCCAAGCCGGTCTCCTCCAGGCGTTCCCGGCCATACACGACACTCCGATATACTCAGATCAGCTTGCTGCTCCTCTCGTGCTGCACGGCACCACGAGCGCAGTATCCGCTCCGGTCACTCCCGCCGGAAGCCGCGAGGGCATACCCTGCCGGTCACGATGACGCAGTGCGCACCTACCTTGACATACTCACCAGCCGCATGCCCTGCCTGATTCAGGCACAAGCAACGTGAACAGCACGAAGGTGTTTGGGGCTAAGAAAAAGCGACTGGGCTTGGCCAGTGCCGCTCCACCCGCGTCCGAGGGATGAGCCGCCCCTCCAGCGAGTGCTCGAGCTCGCCGGACCAGCAGCGGGCCCCAGTCGCTTGCCGCTCAGCCTGCCTCTGGCAGCATACTGGGACAGCTACCTTGCATGCGGAAAAGAGGTGCGTGAAAAAAAAAAAAAGGACTTGGTTCGCTCATGTGCAAGGACATGGGGCGGAACTGGCGAAATTCACTTGGTTCGAGCCTGGAAACGTTGGTTGTTCTCTTTTTTGTTTTTGCGCGCCTTTTTACGACAGCGAAGAAAGTCCCGAGTCAGCCTACTGTGTGCGGGGCCGTCTGCACCCCACGTTGCGCGCTCAGAGTCGACTGGGCGCCGGGGGCTGGTGGCCCGCCAGGAGCTCCCCGAGTGGGGGTTCCAGGCCGTCCGTTGGGTCACCAGGCCCCGCGATGGGTAGCTCGAGCAATGAGCACGCATGCGTGCGTAGGGCGGCGAACGATGCAAGCGCCGTCCAGCGGTGCGTCATGGCTCGCTGCGCTCCGACCGCACACCACGGCGCCCTTTGGCGGGCCCGCGCCTTCGCGAGCAGTCGCAAAAAGGTGAGCGTGTTCGGGCTGATGCGCCCTCCGACCTCGACGCCGAACACGACCAGTCGGCAGCGCCGGGCTTGGCTCAGTTCAGGGTAAGTCCGGCGTTTGCGGTCGACTGCTTGTGCCAAGGCCAGGCCCGGTTGCTGGTCAGCCCGCAGGCGGGGCTGGCCATCCCGGCGGACCGGGCCTACAAGGGTTGCGTCAACGGCGACTTGGGCGCCCTGCCATAGGGGGAGGCCGTTGGCGACCACCTCGATGCGGCGTCCGTCGCTCGCGGGCACGTCGAGGTTGAGGTCTTTGAGGGCGACGTGCGTTGCGACGCGGGCACCAGCCTCCCTGAAGATGCGAGCCGCTGCCCGCTCCAAGGGGCCAGCTCGTCGCGCCAGGACACCCACCTGTGCGCAGGCGGTGCCGTATGCGTCCAGGAGTCCCCCGCAAGCGCAACGTTTCGGGGCGAGCGGGAGGGGCAGGCGGAGTCTGCGGAGCAGCATCACTCGGAACTCCGCGTCCGGTACTCGGGTGTCGGCGCTCAAGAGAAAGCCGTGAAGGCACAGCTCGCGGCATCGCCACCTTGCGACAGCAGCAGCGCTCGGGACGCAGGGTCAAGCTCAGTGAAAAGCGTCTCGAGCGCGCGCTTGTGCAGGGCTTTTGATGCCGTTCGCTGCCATCCCGGTCTTTCTCCTGGGGCAGGGCGGGTGGTGAGGCCGGCGGGGGAGGCGCCCTCCTCCTCCAGCAGTTGTGCCCAGGTTGGCGTGGGGAAGCCGCCCAAGCGCAGGACGCGGGCAGCCTGTTCCGCTGCTCGCGTGCTGGAGGGGGTTCCGCTGGCCGTCGCGTCCAGCAGTGGGCGGAGGAGGTTGGCCAAAACGCCCGGTTGGTACTGCCGCAACGCTCGGACAGTGTCTGCCCAAGAGCTCCTGTAAGCTGGGCGCGTTGGTGGCTGAGCTCGGGCAGCGGCATGTCGCCATCGCCACCCGCCAGCATTTGAGCCAGGCAGTGTCGAATGGCGGCATCGTGGGAAGCCGCGAAGTCAGCGGTGTCGGCCGGCGGCAGCGTGCGCAGCAGGTAAGTGCTGCGGGGAGCCGCGCAGTACAGGAGGAGTAACCACGCCGACTGCAGGTCGGGCACGCGTGGGATTCGACTAAGCAAGCGGTCCTGCTCCTCCAAGCGCTGTGCAAGCTTCGAGGCGATGAACTCGCGGCTTCCGATAGGGCTACCCAGGACCACCACGCCTTGTTGGGCTGCAGGGATGGCCCAATTCCCTGTCCAGCAGGGGTGCTCGGGGTCCTCCGGGGGAAGCTCCTCGAGCAGTCCGGGAGGCTCCTCCCCCGCGCTGTTCCACGCGCGGGTTTTGCCCAGATGCACCTGGATGTTGGCATGCCTCGCGAGAGCCTCCCGTACGATGGCGAACTGGCCTGCTGTGTGCTCGGGGGGCCCTGTGACGTATATGTCGTCTAGGAACGCATAAAGCGTGTTGCCGGGTGCAGGCGTGCCCGGGCCTCAACTAGGGCTTGGTGTTGGCCCAAAGCGAACAGTGACGGCATCAGCGGGTCGCCTTGCTCGCCTCCTTCGCCTTGTTGCACGTCGTGCGCTCCGCGTTCTTGGTCGTAGAAGACGTACGTGCTCGGCGTGCCGTAGAAGAAAGCAGCGAAGGGTGTGAGGCCGGCCAGCTCGGGTCGGTCCACTAACGCTGACAGCATGCTCTGTCGGGAAATGTGGTCGTAGGCGCCCACCCCGTCGACGCTCAGCACGGTGGTCCGCGGGTCACTCTCGGTGGCCACGAGTATTGCCCGCACCAGGGCCTCCGCGCCTGCTTTGGTGCTGAGGGCGTACTGGAACGGGGCACATGCATGCTGGAACTGTTCATGGAGCTGCTGCGCGAGCGTGCGTGCCACCACGCGCCGAAACGCATCCCCCATGACCAGAGCTCGCACACCGCCTGACGGTTTAGTGAGCGCCACCATGCGTCCGAGCCGGACTGCAGGGATGATCGTCGCGGGCACCTCGGCGCGGGCATGCGCGGGCCATCATGCTCGCGGCGTGGGCGAGCAGCTGCGTGCAGTCTTCGTCGTCCAGAAGCACGCGCAAGTGCTCGCTGGTGCAGCCGGACGGGCCGGGGTTTTCGCCCTTACGTGCTCGGCGTACGTTGGTCAGGAGCGTCGTCGGGCACAGTTCGACGGGGGCCGCAGGGTGGGTCCGGATTCGCGGCTCAACCGGGATTTGGGGTTCTTGCGGACGTCGTGACGGGTCGCGGAGCGCGGCCAGCGTGTCGTGGGTCGTGGGCGCTAAGGGGAGCGCGGTGAGCGCCTTGGCGGCTGCTGAAAGCTCACCGAGGTGGGCTAAGGCCGCGGCGCGGTCAGCTCGGCGGCGCAGGTCGTCCTCCTCGTTGGGGGGATTGCCTAGCGCGCTCGCCGGGCGGCCCCGCTCCTGGGGTTTCGGCCGTGCCGCCGCGGCGGCCTCGTTGAGCAGGTCAAGCCACTTCCCGGCCAGGAAGAGCGCTTCGCGTCGTCGTAGCTCGTGCGAAGCCCCGCGGCTTGCGCCAGGCGCGCGATAGAGAAGCATGCGGGGCGCCAGCAAGAACAGCTTCCAGCCCACGCTCGCTTGCTCGGGCGTCGGCGCGTCGCGGATGGTCTCCAAGCCGACGCGGAAAGCGTGACGCAGCAGGCCTCTGAGCTGCCTGGGGGGGGATTGGAGTGTGTGCACGCGCTGGCGCAGCTCGGCCGCGAGGTCGAGGGCTTGCAGGGTTTCAAGATGAGTGCTCGACGGGACCGCGCGACTCGCCGGGGCTGGTGGCGTCGGCAACTGGCCGGCGTCCTCGACGCTGTTCTTGTCCTGCATCGGCCCGCAGGAGTTGAGAAACAGGTTATGTTGGCGCAGTTCCCATCGTGCACGCAGGGCGAGCCGCCTGCGGTAGTTTGCAGCGTGCACGAGGACCGGACTCGTTTGCGCAGTCGTAAAAGGTGCGTGCAAAAAAAATCATGGAGGGCGGGGGCGAAAGGGACCGAAAGAGCGAGGCTTGTTCTTGAACGACCATCTGTTGTGGTATGTTGTGGTCAACATGTGAAACATACTGATCAAATTGGCATGGACATCAAGCATCCAAGCAAACAACGACAACCTGACGACAACCAAATACAGAACACAGAGTGCCGGCATCAGCGGGTCACCTTGTTCGCCGCCCTCCGATTTATTGATGTGGGGTGATCGGCGCACCCGGGGTGGACAGACGCCCGTGCGTACCACAGGCGCAAAGGGCACTGCAGAGAGCATCGCTTCACGGCACACAAGGTGGCATCAACTGCAACGACTATGAGCATCTACTCGTGTGAGTTGCAGGTCGGCTTTCGTGCGGACTTGCAATGTGCGCACCAAAGCTTCAGCCCCAGCCACAACGATAGCGCGTGTTGGTGCGGGTTGCACGCTGCCAATAAATGTGGCGCGAACTGTTGGGCAAGGGTACGGGCAATTAGGCGACGCAAAAAAATCCCCGACCACTACCAAGCGCTGCCGTGCAGGTTTTTTTTTCTACTCACCGGTTTCCGGCCACACATGGTCAACCAACACGTCCCCTTACCGTGTACTACGGAGGCGCCCACACCAAACCCTCATCGGGACCCCCAGGCGGCTGCCAAGCACAGGGAGCTGCCAACGCACATCGGCGAGGACCTCATGCAGCTCAGGCGCATCCCCGGCGAGGTTGCATTCCCCCGCAAGTAGGAGTTCTAGCAGCCACGCGTCGACGGCGCGCTGCGCAGCGGCTGCCAGCATGCCGGACCAGGGAGCAACCTAAGCTGCGCACGCAGCCGCCCGCAGCGGCAGAGGTACCTCCAAGGCCCGTTGCCCCGCGAGCAGGCGGAGCCAGGTGGCTGGTTCAGCGCCAAATCGGCCGCTGACTTCGACACCGATCACAACCATGCGGCAGCGACGGGCGCGAACGAGCTCAGGGTAAGTCTGACAGTGCTTGCGTCGCGCGGCTCCGTCGACGGCTCAGGCCAGGTGCACGTCAGCACCTGGCTGGGCGTAACCAGCCCTTGTGACGGGGCTGACGATGGTGGCATCTACGGCTTGCTGCGAACCATTTTCCATTCGCAGCGGTAGAGCTCGGTTCGAGCGCTCGCCTATGCATCTAAATTCTGGTGAGACTTCAATCGCACGGCGTGCGAAAGCCGAAATCCATCGGCTGAAAGCCTGCTGCCAGGAGCCAATCCTTAGCAGGGCCTAAGGCACTGAGAACTCCAGGGCAGACGAAACGGCAGGGCTGACTCGCGGCAGCAGTGACACAATGTGCGACGGTCCTGCAAGTGGCCTCCAACCAGGTGGTGTGCGCAACAGCTTCACGGAGACGAAGACTGGTAGGGATGTCGTGCCTGAGGACGTAGGGGGGCGGCGGCTCAACACGGAAGGTGCGGGGCGTGCCACTAATGGCGAAGGCCATACGTCCAGGGCAAGTCCAAACAGGGGCATCATCTTGCGGGAAAGCACGCGCGGGGCGGCAAGGCTGATATGTGTCCGCCAGAAGATCGACGTCCAGGAGGAGCAACATGTTATCAGCCGTAGAGGATCTGTCCGCACAACTGGGATCCTCCGACTTCCAAGCAGAAACCGTGGCGCGAAGCGCGTCAAGTGGTTCCACATAGGAGGAGATGGCGGCCCAAGCCTCATCCTCACTGACCGGAGAGATGGCATTCAAATCAGCGAGGAGCCCGGCAACAACATCAAGTCGAATGCTCGGCTCAAACTCAAGCTGATAACAACCAGGCACTGCAGCTGGATATGCCAACGGGTGTGGAGCGTCGCTCCGGCCATTGCAATCGGGGACAAAACGGCCCCAATTAAGAACGCATTGGGGGCTGGACACCAAATGCCGACGAAGTCTGCCAAGGCTGGAGTAGCTTCGACCACAGGCGCAGCAGGTACTGCCTGTCGCACAAAGATGTGCGTGTGAGCGGTAACCGTGCTTACGAGCACTGTGACCAGCCCATGCGAGACGGCTGTGAAAAGCTCGTCGGCATACTAGGCAGACCTCTGCATAATGTGGTCGGGGGAGGCGCGACAGAAGTCTCAGTAGCCGGGCTGCAAACGAGGAGAAGGGCACGGTGAAGGCCGGAGAGGGCAGCTAGGACAGTGTGCCTATGCACATCAAGAACCTGGGCCCGCTTCACAGCGCCTTTATACTTACCCGGGGTCTGAGAGATAAAAATGCGCCAACTGGCCCAATCCTGGCGAGGACAGGGCAGTCCAGTGGTTCGCCAGGTGTAGGAATGGAGCCATTGGAGGTCCGCGGAAAGGAGCTCCGCATGGTCCCTATCCGCCCTCAGGCAGGCCCAAAGCTCCGGCGGACCAACAGCCAACATTTGCGAGATGTACAGCAACCGCTGAAATCGGAGAGCGGTACTGGGACTGGGCATCTGCAGTAAAGCGAAGCAGGTGTGAGCATCCAGGTGCTGGTCCTCCATCTTGCCTATACCGAGTAGGCTGCGATAAAAGCTCCACAGGGCCCCTGAAATGGAGCGCCGCTCACATTTGGTAACCGGCCCCCACGAGCCTGCACCGAAGAAGAGCTTCGGAAGGACAGACGAACGAAGAATGAAGGCTTTGCGCATAAGACTGATGGCGGGATTACGGTACACTTTCCTGCGGCCTTCCGCGGAGGCAGCACGTGCTTGTGATATGCGGTAAGCAATCTCAGCTCGCAAACCTCCTCCGGGGGTTTGTTGGCTGCCCAGGTGGCGGTAGGAGGTGACCACCGGCAGGAGGACTCCTGGACCTGAATCGCAAACGACAGGGATGTGGCCTCTTAGGCCTGATGAGCTAAACACAGCTTGTTTGGCTCGTCTGCTCCCTGCCCCAGACAAAGCCAAAACGGCGGCTGTTTTGTTAGGCGCAAAAGAAAGGGTGAAGCCGAATTCCCTCAGGGCATCAGAAAGGCAGCTTGCTTTCCCTAGTGCACACGCCGCCTGGTGCGGCTGTGTGAGCCGCGGAATAGCGAGATCATCCGCCCACACCACTTCAGATATCTCTATGTGGTCGGAGCAGTCATCGCATGCCTGAAAGGTTCGCATGCCATCCCATGGAAAAGAAGGTGGCCGGGAAACCTGTGCACACTCGGCTCGAAGCTCATTTCGTCGAAGCAGAATGCGCTTGATGAGGGCTGCAAAAATGAGATCCGCCCAAGACGACCCGGGGCGTGAGCCCTTAGCCGTGGCGATCACAGTAGTATCACCCTTAAGGAGGAAATAGTTGCCTTCTTGCAGGCGGCAGGTGAGGGCTTCCAGCCGGGAGAAGCACCCCTACCGGCCAGGGCTGATGGTTCAGCCAAGCGCCCCGCCAAAGCCTCTCGCTCATCGGCGGATAACTGGAGGCTGTCGAGGAACGTCCCCGGATCAAACCCATCAGGGGTGGCCGCAGTGTTAGCCACCAGACGTTGGATCACGCAGTAAAAAGCAGAGGCGATGTCAGCAAAGAGCGTGAATTGGGTCTTGCTGGCCGCCGTTGCAACCCTGCTAATACCCCGGATGAGCTGGCTGCCAAACATAACAGTACATTGGGACTTACCCCCGAGCTGCAAGCTGGGAGCCTGGTGTTCAAAGAAACTCTTCATTGGCGGTCGCAGGGCCTGATGGACAATCTTGGACCATACAAGAAGGAGGAGGATGGACCGGTGGGAAGTGCATTCTTGAAAACTACCTTTGCCTTTGCAAAGCCAAATAGCCTGACCTGCCTTGTAGCCAAGGGCTTCGGAACCTCGCCATGAAGTTTTCCAGGCAAGATGGTGCAGGTGAGGGGACAGAACCTCAGCAAAGATACGTCCGAACTCATTGGGTATCCCGTCCATCCCCGGGCTTTTGCCCGGCTTCGCCTGCATAAGAAGGCGACGAATGTCCGCGCATGTGGGCACAAGACGGATGTCTGGAGGAGCCGGCCAGGCAACATCGGCTGCGGCACTCTGATTGATGCGGTCTTGGGCCTCAATGAGAAAGTGCTCAAGGGCTACCTCCCGGCCGCCTTCCAAACCCCCAAAGTGTTGGCGCCAGCGCCTGGGGCTGGAATCCGAATCGGGGCATACTTTTCCCTCCGCATCGCGAATAGAGGGGAGGGGGTCTGCACGATAAGGTTTCTGGGCGTAACCAGCCCTGGTGACGGGGCTGACGATGGTGGCATCTACGGCTTGCTGCGAACCATTCCACAAAGCAAATCCGTTCGCGACGACTTCGATGCGGGGGTCGTCGGCTACCGGCACATCGACGTTCATGTCTGCCAAGCGGACATGACGGGACTATTACGGGCAACACGTGCGCCAGCTTCTTGGCAGACCTTCGCAACAGCCCGTTCAAGAGGGAGGGTCGGGGAGGCCTCCGGAAGTTGCGCAGGCAGCCCTGTGCTCAACGAGTGGGTCAAGGCGAACACGGCAGGCGCATTTACGCGGGGCGACCGGCAGTGGCAAGCGAAGCCGTCGCAGCATCAAGATGCGGAACAGTGGCGAAGTCACCGTCAATTCAAGTGAGGTGGGGAACACGATGAAGGCCTGTGCATCATGCGGTCCAGCGGCATGAAAGTGAGAAAAATGCAACTCGAGCACGAGCTTATCACTGGCAAAGTACGCCTGATGCTACCATCCCCGCAAAAAAGTCGCCGAAGTCGCGGTCTGCCTGCCATGGTGGCGCCTGCCCCTGATGCAGTGAAGCCCATGAGGGGGCATCGTAGCCTTGATCGCGAAGGCAGGCGGCTGCGTGACGGGCAGCTGCAAGGGGGCACGGCGGTTTCAGTCGCGGACTGTAGCGCTTGGACCAAGCGGTCGGCTGCCAACGGCGCCCGTGCCCGAATGGTCGGCAAACAATCAGCCCACGAGGCCCAGCAGCTTAGTCCCCTGCATCGAATGCTGTGCGAAAGCCAGTGCGGGGGGCAAAGCGCAGATGCCTCGCAGTTTGCTTTCAATGTCAGCACGCGACGTCGGAGCCCGGCAGGAAAGTCGAGGGCTTGGAGCTGCAACGTTGGCGACCCGCAGCTCCCCTTGTGTGAGGGCCTGCGATTCGACTACGGGTTCGCGCGCTGCAATCGGCACCTGAGTTTCTGCCGAAACGTTGCCGGGCGTACCTCCCCCATGTGTTGCAGTCTCGCTGCCTGCAACCCACGCCGGCCTGCGGGCGGCAAGGGCGGTCTCAGCGAGAGCAGCATCCGGGATGCGCTCCTCATCCGCATCGTGTGGTGGCGGCGGCGGCGGGCGGAAGGCCTTGGAATACCCCTTGGATATGATGGTGATTCGGCGGAGCCTCATTTTACAGACGCGGTGGTCTATAGAATGGCCCCCCAGTGTATACCCAACGCAAACACGCCGCAAAACAGGGTCTATAAAATGACCCACTCAGTTTGTAGGAACAACAACGAAAAACAGTGTGCGTCATGGATGTCTCGGGTATATTCACTATGTAATGACCCGCCTGGGTCACCCGGAATGATTTAAGTTTCCCGATGGCACCATGCTGATGGATACCATGCAGATTTGCCAGAACGGGAGCATGCGATAAAATGGCCGGCGAGGGTACCTTTGAAAAAATAGAAATATGCAAGAATTGTGTTGCCAAGGCGGGTTCGCTATAAAATGGGGACCGGGGGTGCACACGTAGAGTTTCTCGATCCGATTTTTTTGCTCTGTTATTTTTTTAGTTCTTTCATGAATTCATATTTTTTCTTATTTTTATTTCGTTTTTTAAAGTGTATCTTCTCTTCTTTGTCTTGTTTGGTTTCTTTGTTCATGTCTTTTACATTTGTCCTTATCCGTGTTTTCCTTTGTGTTTGTATTTTATTTCGTTTACAAGTCCCTTTCTTCTGTTATTTTTAGTTCGTTTTTTTTGATAGGTTTCATCTGCCCCCGGCCCGCGGCGCGGAGGCAAAGGGCAGGATTGCAGGTTTTTGGGTTTGGGGCTTCAACCCTTAAGGGACTTTGAGTTTAGGGCCCTATAGGGTCCAGGTATCTGGGCCGGGTTGAAGGGTTGAGGCGGTCACGGGTTTTGACTCTAAAAGTTTTTGCGTTCCTGCCGGGCTTCTGGTCTCAGGGGTTTAGGGGTTGACGGGGTTGCGGGTTTTTGATTTAGGGGTTTCTGGGTTTATGCTTACTGGGGTTGCAGGTTTCTAGGTCCGTTGTACGGGTTTAGGGCTTCTGGGTTGTAGGTTTCTGGGTTTGTGTGTTTGGCGTTTGGGATTTAAAGCTTCAGGGGTTCTGGGTGTAGGAGCTTTTCTGGGTGGGTTGAAGGGTTAAGGGTTCTGGCTATGGTGTTTCTGGGTTGCGGGCCCTGGGGTTGGGGGTTTAGCCTTGCTGGGGTTGCGGGCTTCTGCGTTTCGGTTTAAAGCGGCTTTCTAGGCTGAGGGGTTTAATGGTTTTCTGGGTTAGTGGGTTTTTAGGTTTAGGGTTTCTGGTGTTGCGGCTTCCGGGTTTGGTTGAAGGTTAGTTTCTGGGTTGCAGGTGACAAGGTTGGAGGAACGGTTGCGGGGCGCTTGCCACTGTGGGTTGCGGATTTCGGCATTGCGGGCTTCTAGGTTCAGGATGGTTGAGGGGTTTATGGTTTATAGATGTTGCTAGTATTGCGGGGCTCTTGCCACTATGAAATGACCGACGTGGGTGCACGGGGGACAGAACCCCTCCGACCCCCAGAGCCTCACGGTGCGCCTGAACGAAGAGTTCGTGCAGCTCCGGCTCCGGCCCGTCCCCCAAGTCACCGGCGGGCAACTCAAGCAAGGAGGCGGCCAGGGCGCGCTGCGCGGCGACGGCGAGGAGGCCGGACCAACTCGCGACCCAGGCAGTGTAGGTCGCAGCCTGGTGGGGACGGCGGCGGCACGGTGCCGCGCCAACAGGCGCAGGAATTGCACAACCTCGGTGCTATACCTGCCGCCAACCTCAGTGCATGTTCGGGCACTGCCGAGTTCAGGGTACGTGCTGAGGCGCTTGCGCCGAGCTGCGGCTTGGACAGCGCTGCCAGGTGGCGACGATTTTTTTTCTTTGTTACGCACCTTTTCCGGAAGTACGAAGAGTCCCAATGCAGGCTGCGAGCTACGGAGAAGGCACTCCGCGGATCGAGGTTCACGCGAGCCGTGCAGGAGACGGCTGTGATCTGGGGCGGCGAGCGAGATCGCATCAGCGAGAACCTCGTGCAAAGCCGGCGGGTTGTCGGCAGCACCGGGCTGGCAGTCAGCTGGGAGGTCGAGGAGCGACGCCGCGACGGCTCGTTGAGCGGCAACCGCCAGCATTCCGCTCCAGCGCTGCACCCAAGCCGTGCGCATTGCCTGGCGCAGGGAAGCCGGTGCACTGAGAGCCTTCGCCTTTTTGCCGCACTTTTTTCCGACTGCGCGAGTAGTCCGCGAGGGTAAGTCAGACCCTGCTACGCTACGGCCGCCGGTTTGGTACCGGCAGTGAGCTCCTTCACCCCCAGCACGCATCGGCAAGGACCGCATGCAAGGCCCCCTCGCCGCGCTCAGCGGCAACGGGGAGTTCGAGGAGCGTGGCTGCGTAGGCGCGCTGGGCAGCGACAGATGCGACAGCCAACAGTCCGGACCAGCGGGCGACCCAGGAGGCGACTGCGGCGGACCGCAGGTGAGTCGGCACCGACGCTGCCCGATGGCCAACAAGGAGGCGCAGGATTTGTACCGCTTCGATACCAAACCTGCCGCCAACTTCGACGCCGACGACGACTAGCCGACAGCGGCGCGCTCGGTCCAACTCGGTAGTTCTGGGTGCGCTTGCGGCGCGCGGCGGCAGCAACCGCGCAGCCCGGCTGGACGTCGGCGCGGGGGCGGGCCTCGCCGCGTTGCGTCGATGCGCCGCTCATCAGCGAGGAGCGCATCGAGATTCATGTCGGCGAGCCGGACGTTGCGTGCGACCCTGGCGGCTGCTTCTCGGCATACACGGGCAACGGCATGCTCCAGGGGCAGCGCGCGTGTTGCCAGGACTCCGGAGGTGGCACAGGCCGCGCAGTGGTCTCCTTGGGGGTTAGGCTGTCCGTGGCAGGCGCACCTGCGCGGCGCAAGTGGAAATGGGCACGCGCAAACGCCGCAGCAAAAACACACGGAACAAGGCGCTGGAGAGTGCGTGGGCGGGAAACTGATGTCTCTGCAGCAGCAAGCCGTGCTTGCGAGGGCAGCAGCGCACGGGACACAGGAGAGAGTTGAGAAATGTGCGTCTCGAACGCGCGCTCATCGCCGAGGCTCGGGCAGCGAGCCGCTGCCAGTCTACAAACGGCCAGGGCCCGTTGTCCTCACCGGGCCGACGCGTGATGTCTGGGGGCGGGCCAGCGCCTTGGGTATCCCAGTCCCGTGCCTCGTAGACGTCGTAGCCGGCCTGTCGCCGCCAAGCTCCAATAACGGTCAACAGTGACGAGTAGGCACGTGTCTCAAACCTAGCCAACCTTGGTTCTGTTTGCTATGGCTGCTTTATCTCGGTTTGGAGGGCTAAGAAACACTCGGCAACAGTAATGCCCGTATCGGTCCAGCCCAAAGCCCCGAAATAGGCAGGGAGGGAGGTCTCCGTGTGTGTCGATCATATAGGAAAGTGGCACGGGGAAACTTTGGTGACCACCCCACCATCCGCCTATTTGCAAGCCCGGAGCGGAAAATGCCCGAGCCCAGTATGGCCCGTAATACTCCCTGAAACGAGCCGAGCTTCTTTGTTTGCATGGCTACTAGATAGGAGAGTAGCAAGGGGACACGCAGTACCCCCCCCCCCCCACATCCTCTTATTTCCAAGGCTTTGCACCCGCGCGGCGCAATGCAGCCGGTCCCTCAGACCCCTCGCGTGCGTCTCAGGTTTTGGAATTGTAATCCCCGGAAGTAGGCAACGACGAAGGTCTCCGTGTGTGTCGCTTCTATGGGAAAGTAGTAGGGGGACACTCAGTAACCACCCCCCCCATAGCACACTTTTTACAATCCCGGACTCCCTGGGTGAACACAATGTAAACATCCCGAAATAGGCAGCCAGGGAGGTCTCCGTGTGTCTCGTTCATATAAAGGAAATAGTAGGGGGAGACTCAGTGACCACCCCCTGCATCCGCCTATTTGCAAGCCCAACCGGAAAACGCCCGAATATCCCATTGGCTTAGCCTGGCGTAGGCGAGTTTACGTACCAGTGCTACTCATCCAGCAAACAGGCACCTGAGGCAAGTGATGCCACAGGGGTCGGTGAAGAGGCTCTTTGCAACGTTGCCAGGAACGGCGCGTAGCCAATACGTGAGTGAAGGTGTCGCTTGCTGAGCTTTCTGCTGTTATGCAGCACTTATGCGTGCAAGCGGCAGTGGCTCCCGAGTTTTTTTCGAGTTCCGTCAATGATGGCCCCGCCCTCCTAGCGCCCTGCAAACCGCGCCGCATGGGCCTCGATGAGGCGCGCCAGACTAATGATGGCCGCCGACCCTACCGCGATGTAATGGCCGTCCCGTACAACGACACGCGCGCGGACTACCTGAGCAAGGGACGCGGCGTGACCAGCCCTTGCTCCAGCCCACGTGCGGAATCGTTGCAACGCAGGCGACTGGAAAACTGTCGGCGCGCGAAGGCAAAGGCCACATGCTCAACTGCCGACGTGAGCTCGTTTATGGGGACTTGTTCGCAGCGCATCGACTGCGGCGGGCTTTCATAAGCATAGAAAGATGCAAAGTGGGGTTGGTGCCTTTGCATAGCGGTAAAGGTGGAGGACCAACGTCATCCAACATGCATGTTGACACAGCTCGGTGGCTGGCACAGGGGGAGGCGCTCGGTTTGGCAGGTGGGATGCGTGGGGCGGTGATGCTGCAACCAGTGCAAGCGCCCTTGCTGGGTGCGCGAAGGGGCCCATAGCTCCTGACGTCTTGCAATGTCCACGTCCCACAGCATCGGCGTCAAACACACGGGGCATGCAGAAAGCATGGCCTGGCGACTCGCAAAATAAAATGCGCCAGTGCCATCAGCAAAGGACAACGCCATTGGGGTTTGTGTCGGTTTCGAGTTGGAGCAGTGGGCGACAGTTTCAGCAACATGCACGCATGGACACGACAAATTGAATGGGTGGGATCTGTACTGCTGGGCTACTGTGCTAGCAACAACCCCGCCGCTGAGAATGACAACAAGTCCGCGGACGTCGCTGGCTGGATTGCAGCGCAAAACAACGACCGAGGGCCGATGCCATCCCTGCTAACTGCTAATCGTCAATAAGAGAGAACGCGCGATTAAGTGAGTCCGCTGGTGCCAAGTGCTGCACCTCGTTGTGAACGACGCAATTTGGTGAGCAAGGCTGGCGCAAGCAGTGCGATGGGTGCTTTAGGGACCCCTGACGACAGCTTTCAGTTAAGCGGGGCATACGGTCAGCAGGGGCAACGGCATCGTGCACGGCCGCCAGGGGCAAAAGGCTTGCTGAGCAAGAGCGTGTAGATCGGCTGAAAGTTCAGGCATGCCAGGTGACAGCCCTGCGTCAGCAATCAGCAAGCCGCTCGGCGCCAGGCTCGGTGACCGAGGGTCGAGCCGGTGGCGATGTGGTGCCGCCCCCACGAAGGAGTGTACCCCAATCCCCGCTCCCGACGGCAGAGCTGCATGCGTGCGCAAGGCTTCGGCCGGTATGCAAAGGGCAGCTTCCAGCCGGAACAACAGCAGGCGACGGAGGAACAACCGTTTTCAGCGCCTTCCAGTTCATGAAAAGGATACAACCGGACGTTCGTTGCCACGAGGCGGTGGCGCATTAATCGCCGCCGCGAAAACAAAAAGAGAAAACCATGTCAACTGGAGGCAGTCCTTTGGAACCGTTTGAGCTTGCTACCCCACAAGTCCAGAACATCAATAATGCTCATCCTGTTGCCGCGATTTCGACATTTCGTTTCCGAAGCCGGACGTTCAGGGTAACTGCGGCTCGGGTTTCCCGACACATGCAGGCTGCAGCATGCTCGAGGGGTCGGCCGCTGGTGCAGTGGAAGCGGAAATGTTGCGTTCAGAGGGTCGTGAGGAGTCGGGCAGTTAGGCAGACAGCCAAGCAGACAGGCAGCAAGCCTCGTGCAAACAACATTAACAGAAATACTGCCACGCAAGTGGAGACAGTCCGGTTGGAAGCAATGACACTACATGATCGAAGGCTGCTGTCAAGTGGATTCCAAGCATTCGCCAAACTCCCACACCTGAGACACCTCAGCTGCCCACATGCGTCGTGGTCTACCACGTCTTCCAAGAAAATCAAACAGTTTTAACGGGGAAGAAGCATCACGGAACATGCAGTTACAATCACATCCTCAATTCGAAGCAATGCAACGCTCAACTGTCGCTGTGGCGATTCATGAGGTCGTAGCATTTATAACGAGTATGACGGTACATGGAGAAGAAGATGTGTCCAATTTGCAAGTATCCTCTTTCCTTAGCAGGACGAAACCGGTCTGGCAGTGAAGAGAATTGCGGCATGGGGCCCGGTCTGCGTGTCCAGCATGGCAGGGCCTTGGGGTTACACCACCAGAACAACAAGCGCTGTGCCAAGGATGTATTAGCCAAAAATTCCTGTCAAGGTGCAGTGGCTCCTTTTTGGTCGTACCAGTAGCGCACACCGCCCCTGAACCGGTGCCGGTGCCGGGGTGCGCACTTCTGCGCCCACCCTAGGCGACCGTCCGGTGGGATGGGTGTCGGCCGTCCAGTCAACAGATGTAAGCACACCAGGGTGGCGATTTGAAAAAAGATCGAGCCGACAAGCTTCGCGGTCGATCGCTGGCGTTTTTTCCGACTCACACACGCGTGCTACACGACAACACTTAGTGTCTCAAGCATCAACGCGAGAAGCTTGATCATGCATGCATATGCATGCCAAAAGCTGCATGCTTAGCCAATAGGCGGGAGTTCGTTGCAGACAACCTCAATGCGGCGAGCTTCTGTTGCAGCAAAGAGCACGTTCTAGACGTTTCTGGATGACATCGGCGTCAATCTGCGTTGATGCGTTGGCTGTTTTGCGCGACCCGATGCGGCGACGCACCAAAGCAAACAGGACAGAGAAAGCTTATCGACACGTCTTGTGCCCGTGACGGCGGTCCTACCATTTACGGGCGACGTCCCGACATCTCCTGAAACACTTTACCAAGGCGAGATGACGCAGGGCCGCAGACCCACACGGAGTGGTATATCTTGCGCTGACGCTGCCTTCCTGCATCATCTAGCATCGACATGGACGCTGTTCAGAATGGTTCCTCGGGCTTCCATCCCAATCCAAGGCCGTGAAGTTGGCGTGTGATCCCTGTCTTTCGCGTGGGATCCGGTACTCGGGAAGACTTCCGGGCCGGCCAGCCCCTCTCCGTCTGCAACCTTCTTCGAAGACAAAAACCGAAGTCCAAGCTAGTTAAGCTGAGTTGTGTCATTCGGGCGAACTTGACACACACACACACACACTTTGAGAATACACTAAACCCTACAATGAGCCTTCCACGGAAGAAGAGTACTTCCCCACATGCTTGGCATTTGTAGGTGCGGCTGGCACCCGCCGTCAGGGCAGGAATGGAATTTGAGTGTGTAGTATAGCAGACCCATTAAAACGTTCATTAGTTAGTTGTGTGAAGTGCCATGCACGACCCGGGACAGTCGAAGCTCCTTTTCCTCAGAGCACAGGGTCGGAGGCAAAGTCTGCTCTCTTTGGAATCGCAATATCCAGAGCTCCTCCATGCCACGCTGTTCTCGGCGTGCTGTCTGTGCTGAAAGACCGAGAGACTCTCCGATTGCAAGAATTTCGACGGGGTCGTTCTCAGCTATGCAGACAAGATAAAACAGACCACCTGGAGCCAATGTCATGGCAACCGTGGGCATCAGCATGTCAATAACCTCGCGGCCACGCTTCCCTCCGGCCCAGGAAACTGAAATCCCGAAACCTTTCATCTCGTCCTCATCCGTCGGCACATATGGGGGATTACATATCACCACGTCGACCTCTGCATGACAAAGTCTTTGTGTCATGGAAGCTCGCACAACGCCCGAAAGAGGAAGCTTGAAATGCTGGAAAAGTTCCGCTGTACACATTACTGCTGCCGGGTTTTTGTCGATGGCAAGCATGAAGCACGGGCACCCTTCACGAGTCAGAACGTCCCACAGGCCGACACTAACCGCACCAGAGCCACAGCCCAGTTCCACACAAACTGTCGGCTTCAAGGCTCGTAGCTTTCCTGCATCCTCCTGCAACACTTCTAAGAGCAGGAAAGTGTCATCGCTCGGAGGGTAGACGCCTTGCCCCACGCGAGCTCGGGCAGCATCAACGATCTCCACTGCCCATACCGGCGGCGGACATGCAGGTTCCGGATCTTCGTCGGAATTCTCAGCCATCAGCGCTGCAGATGGCTTCTACTAGCAGACTAGCTGTCTCTGGAGCCAGGCTTGGGAAATCCACTTGTCCTTGAAAACCCACAGAGCAGCGATTGCACCTCCGCTTTTTCACAGAGCTCATCTGGCCGGCTCTGCATTTGCAGGCACGAAGTTGTTGCGCAGCCTGGAGGCCGGACTTGGCTGCTATCCATCTGCCCAGCCGTCTCAGATGAACACGCCGAGCTTCCTGACGCCACTTCCGGATATCCAGTTCGATACACGGTCCAAGACTACTGGATTGCGAAAAACTGTTGACCTCGCTCTTTGCCAGGCTCTTTCTTGTCTGCCCGCTCAGCATCATCTCTATGTACAAAGGCTTCGAAGGGTCTGGACTGCTGCCAGGCCTGGGCCTACGTGGCTGCGTTAGCAATGGAGCACTTGCCAGGCTGTGCCAGGCGCTCATCTCAACGGTTTGCGAATGTCTCATCAAAGAAGTTAGTCTGAGCCAGGTCGACAGTCCTAAGTACACTGATTTTCGACAAAGAACTACAGCGCTTTGCACATTCTGTCCACTCTCTGTCTGGAACTTGTGTCATCTTCTGTGCCAACTTGCTTCGACGTCCAGTCAACAACTGCACTCCATTTCAAACCGAAAACGAAAGCCGAGCCACATGCCGACAATGTCGGGCACATCCGAAACTGTGGCCCATGTCAGGTCCTCGACACATGCAACTGAAGTTAATCAACCTGCCAGCACCTGACTGTTCGGCTTGGGCCTTGTGAGTGTCGTACATAAACTTCCAGCAAAACGGCACATCCAAGCCTCAGCAAAAGGTTGGTCCGCGAGAGCAAACGCCACAGGACATGTGATGCACATGCCCACCCAAGGACTGGACAGAGACTGGAGATGTAGCCCGAGATGGACGTGTTGAGGATCGACAGATAACTCATTTCCTCGAAGACTGCAAGCTTGGATTGGTTCACCAACGTAGCAATGACAGCAGAGTCTCAATCGGAACAGAAATCATGTCGAGGCAACCAGGAAACACCGACATTCTAGACGTGTAGAATGAGTACGGTATAGAAATACAAGCATTTGCAGAGCCAAGGGCAGCCCAATCGACGATGACCTGCTCCGGTATCACGCCGGCCAGCTCGGGATTGTGGGAGATATCGAACACCTTTACACCCAACGTCTTTTACGTGTAACTATCCGGTGTGCACTGTGAACGCACCCACCTGGATCTTGGTCATTGGAACGATGTCCTGGCGCCGGACAGATCGACGGGAATGCATGATACGAGAGTATAGCACCTGCGTCAGACGTCCCTTCAAGCGGTTGTACTGCAGATGGACATACCTTCGCACATGACACTACAGCAGATGACTATTGAATTCACGGGCTTTGAGAGCACAGCCGGATGTTTGGAAGTTGGCCAAAATCTGCAGGAAACTCATCCTGCACCAAAGGTCACAAGAGCACTGCCAGTATCAAGAGTGAACCCGATCTACGTACATAATCGCTTCTCAGACGGCTACAGGCTATCCAGCTTCTGTATGTAAGCTGCTCTTCGCCGCACAGTGCAACAACATGAATTTAAGAGCCGGCCATCTTGGCGTGGAATGTGAAAACGAAGCGAAAATACCGACACGCGCAGCCATCTTGCCAGCAATGCTACCTAACAAATTGAGGTCGGCCTTCTATGTCGAAGCCGCTCGAGCTCCCCTTGAACAAACACGTTTCCTCCGACAAGTGAAGGTATGGATTGTGTTGGTAAATATTATCGCTGCCCAGCATATCCACAACGAGATACCGTGTGGTCTCATTCCAACTATGACAATGAACCAATTTACAAAAAGCTCAAGACCCTCCCGGACTATCTCTGTGCGCACGACACGAAAGTAGGCTTAGATGCCGATGGAATCAATAATGATTGCGTGCATACGGGAGATAGAGTCTGGCTTCCTCAGCGTTGGAGACACAAAACAGGAACAGTACGTGCGAAGTAGACTGCAGTAATAAGAACGCAGAAAGCAGAAGTGGAAAAGGTAGAGAAAGAAATACAGATCCGGAGAGTACAAATCGAAAGCAAATACGATAGAAAACTGGAAGCACGGAGCAAAACAACAGCACGTACAACAACTAAAACCAGAAGCCAATGAGAGTTCACGAAGCTTGGTACACCACAAGAAGACAGTGTTCGCTACCGTGGAACGGATACGATTGCTGCTTCCGTGATCATCAAGCTAGGCAGTTCCTCTGTCTGGCGGGACAGAAAAAAAGCTCCTCCAAGAGAGGTGCCCCTGAACTGCACTTTCACTTGCTAAAGTGAAAGTGCGCTTCAGTGTCGTTCTACTTCCAAGCTGCAGTCTAGACAAAGAAGGCATCAATACAAGCATTAGTATATTTCAGGGTCAAGCAGGCGAATGAGAATTTGGGCAAGACGGAGCCCTCCTCGATCATGTTGTTGTCCAGTTCGAGTGTGTGAAGCCTCGGCAATGCACAGTGAGGCCAGAAGGCCAAGACTGTAGACTTCAAGCCGCCGGCACTTGAAAGCGCCGGAGGTAGTTGGGCATATTCCTCGCCGGCAGGTATGCCATGCCATGCTTTCAAGCTGCACCTGCCCCTGCCCAGGCCTCAACTGGTTGCGGCTGGCACTCAATGACCGTAGTGTATCCGCGTTTAGATACAAGTCCTCGAGCAGTTCTCTCCTCCATCAAGCACTAACAGATGCGGAAGCGGGGCCGAGTGCGAAACATCTGGAAGCTTCAAGATGAGATTGCCAGAAACCTGCAACGAGAGCCCTCAACCAAAGACTTAGCAGAGATTACAAAACCAGCCTCAATTTCTTCCAGCTGGAAACACATGGCCAAGGAGGGCATTGACCTCATCGTACACGACCAATGAAGCTGCATTAGCGCATTGCTTTTCAAGGCACCTAGGGGCCCTGCCCTTCCACGCGGTTCACCTCGTCATTTGGATGCCTCGGCTATGTCTTCGACTGCCCCAATGCGGCAAGCCAATCGGAACTTTGACGACAACAAGATGCATGTGGTACTCCGGTTCTGTCGAAGACAAGTCAAGCTTGATCAAGGATGTCAGTGCACCTCCGGCAAACAAACTCGTGCTACAGCTGGCTCGAATCTGACCATGCCCCAGCCTAATGCAGACGGCAGAGGCCCTCTCACCCTGTTGTCCGACAGCTCCAGCTTTATGACCTACAACTGCAACTTGCAGCTGTTGTCCGCGATGCACGAAAAGCTGTTTTCCAGGTTGCAAGCCGCATGAGCTGATCTGCGCTAAGAGCTCTCGGCTCTCGGGGCTCCCACATAGCCGTGCTCGTTGCAAGTGACCCCGTACCAGTAGTCCCAACAAGGGTCCAACTCCTGGCCACGGGTCCCGTCTTGCTGTCAGAAGTAGGTCTGCAGTCTTATAAGATGAAGTCAGGCTTGCTCCATTCCAGTTGTCTCGGGTTCGCCAGAAGTCACCTCATGAAAGGCAAGGTGGGGGAGGCGACTGGAAACCACCCTGACCGCCTCCACAAGAGTTGTAGAACTCCATCAGGGCTGTCTTCCTCATAAGGAGGGAACACGCACCGACGAAAATGCGAGCAGTGAGGATCGCGCTCTGCACGACGCTGGTAGTCGTTCTGGTATGAAGGGTAGTACGCTCTGTTGTACTGGCAGCCGTAGGGCCTCACTGGCATCTGCCCTACCAATGCAACAATGTGCTCATGAACTCGCTGTACCTCGGGCATCCGCTATTGATAATGACCAAATAAGTCCAGCATGTGTTTGGTTGATACTGATGTCGAACACTTTTTTGATGGTTGAATGAAGGCGGTTGAAATGCAAAAGACGGATCGCTCTTGTCGCCAATTACTCCGCTGATTCCTCTGTTGTTTTTTGCTTTGCCTTTGAATGAATTCAATTTCGAGGTCTGGGGTCGCATCTTCGAAGAGTTGGGTTTTGGTTTTGGGTTTAAAGGTTTGGGTCTGGATGTGTACGACCTCGGAATGCTGGATGTAGAATTTTCGGGATTTGGGGGTTCGGTTGAAGGCTTTTGGAGTTTGGGTTCTTAAAATTAAGGGTTGATTCGGGTGGCTGTTCGGTTCTTGGGCTTCGATTTCGGGGGCTTGGGTTTAAAGTTGTGGCTTTTGGAGTTTCGAGGCTTTGGATGTGGGCTTTGGGATTAGAGAAGTTTAGGGTTTGTGGTGCAGGGGTCGTTCAGGGTTTGGGGGCTCTGGGTTTGGGGTCCAGAACAGGGGGAACGGCCCCGGTTTCAACTTGGTTGTCTGTGTTTAGGAGCTTGTTGGATGGCTCAGGATTTATGGATTCAAGGTTTAAGGGTTTCGGGGTCGACAGTTGGACGCTTGAGGATGAGGGGTCAGGAATGAATGAGCCTTCATCTACCACACCAAAAATATTTGGGATAGGATTCGGCGACAAAACCTGGCGAAACCAGATGAAAGCCGGCGAACCTGATGAAAATCTGAGGAAACATGAGGAATCCGTCTGGTCATCCAGGTGACGTCAGTTAACGCTCCGGCGTCTGAGGCACAAACCTTCAACAACCATTCTGTCTTTGCTAGTTTGGGGGACTGGGCCTGCCGGGAAAGCCTGCGCTTCCAGAACCTGCACTTGGCCCAAAAACCTGAAACAATCCCAAGCCCAACAACCCTAAACCTCAAACATCAAATCCAAAACCCCTGGACGCTACCTTCGTTGTTACAAACTAAGCCCCTAAACCCGAAACGCAAAAAAAAAAAAAACACTACTCCAAAGCAAACAAACACTATTGCGAAACCCACCAACATATATCAAACCCAAACGCTTTTTAACCCTAAACCCGACAAACCAAAAGACCCCCAAAACAAACCATACATGGTAGAACCCGAGCTTCTGGACCACAAAACACCAAAAACCCTGAATGCCAAGCTCGTAAACCCTCAAGTATCTTAAAGCTTTGGGCCAGTTCCAAATCGGCAACAACCCCAAAACGCAAGCCCTACAGCACTGCCGACCCGCTCTCCACGACCTAAACCAAAGAACAGCCAGTCGACCCAGTACGTTAGCCCACTCCCAAAGACCCACAAGGGGCCCATGAACCCCAAAGGCAACCGCCGCGTCCTTCGAGTGTTGTTGAAAAGCGAAAAGGAATTGGTTTGGGTAATTTGGCCGCCCTGGTGGCATTGGGTTTTGGGATGGCGATCATGATGCACAACTTTCACTTGCACTTCCACTGCTGCAGCGCAACATTACGCAAACCCCACGCCCTAGACCCTACGTGTACAAACCCTACACAATAAACTCCTAAACCCTAAACATGAAGAAACCCTGAACCCTAAATCGGAAGGAAATTGGTGGAGTGCGCGGAAGCAGGGGAGCGGGTGGAGGGAGAGAGGGAGGGAGGGATTGAACTTAGCAAGGGCGCGGCGATGGTGGTAGTGGAGGTGGAAGGGGAGGGCGAAAATACCTGCTCGGCAAAAACAGTGGCACTTTTATTGCTGATTTCAACACGCAGGAAATCCCAATTTTGTATTTTGATTTCATAGACGTCGTTGCTTTTGGGTACTTACTAAAATGTTCGGATTGCGTCAGTGGCTGGAATTAGAATCAACATCGGATGCCCGGGGTAAGTCGGACTGTTGCTCATGCGGAATTGAGTGTGGCGCATGCCCTCCATCGTGGTATAGTAGCACGATGTTTCCTGGCAGACGCATCTGCGAAGAAATGAACCCGAGACAGGAACAGAGCAGGGAGCACGAGCGTGATGGATTTGCGCTGGTCGCGATGCCACCTCATGTCCCGAGGATCGAAGCTGAAAATCAGATTCCAGTGGCCAAGCACTATGGCAACCCAGCAACGAACCATCAGAAATGAGCAGTTGCTCATCCTGGGTGATGCCTCCAGCACCTTCCACTGCGCGCCTTTGCGATCAAAACCATACGTCCGGCTTCAAGATTCAAGTCACTGTCGGGATGCAGAGGAACGCACAGAAAAGTTGCTGTGCACAACCAGGCGAGCAGTGGCCGCGAAGTGAAGCCTGACGTTTCGCTGTGCAGAAAACTGTCAATATGCGTAAATCAATCCGCAAAGGCCGGAGGCCGGGGCGTTTAGATCATGTTTATTGAACTGTAATGAAATTACCTTGTCCCTCCCACGCCCCTCTCCCCCAGATTGGCTCCTTGTGCTCGATTTTTTGGCTCGGGGTAGGTAGGCGATGGTACGTGTTTGTCACGGGCTTGTCCTACCATAAAGAGCCAGCCACGAGGCGGGAATTTAACGGACATGTCCTGAACCAGCGCAGCGTCCGACATGATAGAATTCGTTGCTCTTGGAGCCTTGGCCTTGAAACCTATTTCGCAAGGTAACTACTCGACATTAACCACTGCAGCAATGCCCACGTGCCGTTCGACAGTACTCGGCGACTAGACGAAAACCTAGCTTTAACATTCCATTATATTAGGAAGGCTGACAACTCCACATTCAGTGTGACGGAAATGGTCAAGCGCCATAAGTCGAATGTGGGTACAGAACACTCTGTGTCGGGCCACTCCCATGCGGAATGCCTTGGAACGTCTTCGCATGGGCTCCATGACTACGCATGACAAGCACAACGTAACTACACCGAGTGAGTTTGGCTACGCTGATACCGTTGCTATGCTATGTTAAACCGAGGTCAGTATGCAAATCGGAACCACGCTTTAAGCCGCACAAGCCTAAGCCTGGTTAAAGTGCAAGAAAGATGCTGCCACATGTCTGAGATGGTGAGAGTTATCCATGAGGAGTGCATCATGTTCTTGAGCATGCGGCACGGGTCAGCAGAGAAGCTTGCCACAAGACAGAAGCAAGCAAGCTGTCAGCAAGGCTTGCAGGCGCACATCATGCACGCCACCAATGAAAGGTTGATGCAGATGCCACAGATCCTGAGCCGGCCCAACGGACCACCCAGCCGAGACTGAGAAGAATGTGGCAGTAGCGATGCCATGCTTGGTCTCTCCCCCCTGTATTTGCAATGCCCAGGAACAGCTGGGCCATGTTTCCGAGGTCGAACATCTGGCTTGCAATGGGTGCAGCAGCGGACCACCAAGCACCGGCAAGAATCATGCCGACGGCACAGGCCCGCTCAATTTGGTCTTGTCAACGTGCATGGAAACGCCTGTCCACCAAAGAAAGCGTTCAACAAACCGAGGAACTGCCCCAAGCCTGAGCCTTGCACTTACCAGCTTGGGAAAAGGCGCTCAAATCACTGAAGCAGCATTGGGCCCGTCGCTCAAAAATCTAACGAAAAGCCATGTTAACTGTGGCACAACCTGCCCTGTTCAAACTGCCGGGCTCGACCAGACACTCCGGTCACTGGCTCTTTGCAGCCCCTGTAAGCCTGCTTAGTCTACACCTCAGAAAGATTGACTGGACTGTTGCATTGGTGTAGTTTCTTCGAAGCCACACTTCAAGGTATGGATCGTGTGCATGCGCAGAGTCTTGGCTCAAAGCTCTTGCATTTTCGGCTTCAAACGAAAACGATTCAATTGAAGCGATTGGACACTGCGTGACCGGGACTAGACTATCCAGTGCTACTCAACAACCGAGCTTGCGCTGCGCTACTGCCACGGCAATCATGAAGGACTTCTACGGACTGCGGTCGGTACGGGTAAAGGCTCACTTCCCGGTTGCAGATTGCTCCCAACGCGTGATTCGATAGACTCCACACTCTTACTCTTACGGGTGAGAGGATTGTAGAACCTGGAGGAGCCGCTTCATTGCTCAGCCCCAACAAGCCCTTGTCTCACCGAAAAGTCGCTTTGCCCCTCGCATTGCACACCTCCAGAGGGGATTGGAACTCCATGGTCCGAACTGGCTAACATTGCTTTCGTGGAGCTACTGCAGATGAAGCGTCCAAGGTCACACACACATCAGAACTCCAACTCTTGCAACCATGGAACGGTGTCGATGCAAGCTCATCTTTAAGTTTCGGCGATATTCTGTGAGTGATGACCTTGGCTTCCGTGGTGTAACACACACACACACCAAAAGAAACACGAAGGCCACCTCGCAACCTGGCTCATGGAGGCTGCTGAGGCCTTCCAGTGCAGTGCATCGTACTCTGTTAAACTTCGTTCCACAAGGCTTCACTCGAACTCGCCTGGCGCTGTGAGCGCCACCTTGAGCCAACTTCGTGCAGCCGTGCCCTTTCGCCCAGGCGCTGAGGCAAGCGCTGCTCCATTGTCAGGATCGCTGAGCCTCGGGATCGCTGCCACGGTGTCACGGTAACACCCTCCTCTAGTGAAGCAGTCCGTCCACGGTGCCTCCATGGCCAGCTGCCTCGAGCTCGGGTCTTGTTAACATGACCTAGCCTACTCTGCAGAAGCCAAGCCGAGCGGCATCCAGTGGCCGGTTCTGTAGAAGCAGGCCACGGGCAACTGGCAGACGAAGGTCCCAATTTCCCCGTGACTCGCAGCACTCGCACGGCCTGGCAGCACCGCCACCGCCAGGGCGGCAACGGGGAGGCCCAGGAAGCGCATGCCGCGCGCGCGCGCGCTGCGCGCCGTGCCGCGCCCAGCTTTCGAGCCACAAGGCCAGCAAAAGCCGGTGGAGGCCAAAGAGACTTGCAGAACAACAAGAGCACTCACTTCTTGAAGATCCCTCAACCTTCCTCCAGGAACTGGGCGCTGACACTTCTGCGAGACTTCGACTTCGACCACTTTGGGAAGTCACTACGTCATGCCGACAAGCCATTTTGGCTTTTCTGTGGCACCTATCCTGGGAGAAACAAGCGGCTTTGTCCCAGCACCGCTTTATGCACATGTGCCTCAGCAGATATCACACGGCACAGCAGCAACTCTGAACAGCACAGTGCCAAGTGCTCCGTCAAGCTGCCTTCGGCTGGCATATGCAGTCGACCAAGCCATCAACGAGAATGTCAGTGGAAACTCGCTGCGAAGATGCACCACAAAGCCTTGCACGACAGAGCGCACGAAGCTCACACACCGAGCTCGGATTGCTTGAGATCAGGTGCGCGAAAAGCTCGTCTATGTCCGCCTCTGTCAGGCCACCATCGTGGCCTATCGCTCGACGGCATCATTGACGTGAAATGGGAAGTTCGAAGGTCCTGTCGCCAGCTGCTTCAGTCGGTCCTGCAAGGCGGATGGCGGATTGTAGGCAAGTGACGCAGAAACGCACCGTCTGACCGTCCTTCGTGCATGAGCTCTGGGACCCAAGAGTCTTGAAGGCGGCCCTCAATGCCTAATCAAAACTGCCACGCTGAGAGTTGCTTTGACCCAACTCCAAGCATTCTGCCTCCGGATTTGGCCCGCAGAGATCCTGCGACACGGGCCAGGAATATGCTGCAGACTGAAAACACGCCAACGATGCCGATGTGTGGCGGTTGGGCAGACGGGATGTCGGTGGCGGTTGCGATCGCGGCGAGGTGCAGTTTGGGTGCGGCGGCAGTGGAGCTTGGTGCAGTTTGGCTTCTTGTTTCCATGGCGGCCTTCGATGGCGGCGATAGGGATGTGGGTGGGGGAGCCATGGAGGGTCCGCATTGATAAATGCCGACAGACGGGCACCATTATGAGCACCCACGTAAGCCACAGCACTGCCCTCAACAGTCCATCCATATCCATGTCCCAAGGTGCCCTCGACATGCCGTCAGCCTGCAATAAGTGTATCCCTTCTGAAGCCTGTCACATGTTGCACATCCCTGGCCCTGCCAGGTGCCTCAGCAAGGTCAGCAACTTCAAGCAGCTTGGCCAGTGCCTCAACCGGGAAACGCAGCACTGGTGCCGCTACGTGCAAAGAAAGGACGCCGTGATCCCGACCCACTTCCTGCGATGACTTGAATCCTCCGGCAGTTCATGGATCATGGCCGCGGGCACAGCTCCAATGTCAGCTAAGCAAAGGTCTAGTCTGCTGAGTCTGAACAATCATATCCGACAAACTTGGCACCAGTCACGCTCTTTGTCCGTCCTCTGTGGACACCCCTGCGGCCTGGAACAGGCGGCCGGTGCCAGACTCGCCACTCTGGCAGAAATGCACTCTTCAGGCAACCTCTTCCAAGAGGGCATCAAAGGCCGCATCTGTCAGGCACCAGCCAAGACCTAGGGCAGTGGCTCTCCGGCTGCGACAACTCTCCCGAGCATGAGAGCAGCCAGTCAACAGCACTGGGGGCTTCTCCCAGTTTTCCATGAATGATAATCTTGGCAAGAAGGGGCTACATCTGATTCGGAGGTAAATGTCACAAGACATTGGGACAAGCGCAGTCGGCGCAGTGTGCCACGGTCTCCATTTTCACATTTATCGGTGGGGCCTCCTATGCAAAGCCTCTTTGTCGAAGGTTCCGTCTATTCGGTCTTGCTCTGCATGTGCATTGCCAGCAACTCCCGACAGCTACGATTTTGCGAAGGCTTCGCCAGAGCAGCACAATAGATTACTGTGCAGGCATTACGTATACCGACACTTGGGAGTGGAGCTTCGTGTACATTCGTTTGTTCGCCGCACCATTGGAAGAGAATCCCCACAAACATCCACAAACATCCACATGAAATTGCAACTAATCCGGTGCTGGAATTTTTGATGCTAACTTCCTGTTGCGTTGGCGAGAGCTTACGCATCTCCTCGTCCCTTTGCCGTCCAGAATCGACCACGAACGCTGCTGCTGCTGCTGCTGCTGCTGCTGCTACTACTACTACTACTACTACTACTACTACTACTACTACTACTACTACTACTACTACTACTACTACTACTACTACTATCTACTACTACTATCTACTACTACTACTACTACTACTACTACTACTACT